CCCACCAGATGGTCGTACGTGTGTTTCTGTACGGCCCGTATGTTGCCATCAGAGCCAGATGAGGAACAAAGCTGAGAATAAAAACACGGCCGTGATGATGAACATCATAAACGTGGTCTTGTGTTCCGTTCCTTAGACCAGGAGTTTGCTTTCGCAACCTTTTTTCCATTTTGTTAAGTGGCGATGTCGTCGTATCGTCGTTCGAGGTGATCGTATCATCACACGACGGTGACCCTTCATGTGATGATGTTACAGTGTTGTCGCGTGATGATGTCGCCGTGTCGTCACTCTCGTCGCTATGTTACACTGTGCTGATGTCAATGTGCTGTCGCGTGTTGACGTAATTACTGTGTCCGTCCCCAGACGACGCATCACCTGACTCGTGTTGAGCGAGACCTTGCCAGGGATACCGTTAGGATTCCATCCCTTCCCTGTACCTCTTGTTGTGCTCGGACTCTCTTCAGAATCAGCGCATAAAGCGTAGTAAGAGTTGATATGGAGATAGCAGCAGCAAAGAAGTTGCATCCGTTAAAGAGCCCTGGGAATGGTGTATTGACCATACTGTCATCTGTGGCGCATGCGTAGCCGACAACAGTTCTATTGACCGTCTTCCTGCCTAAAATGACCATCGAGGGTGACGCAAAGAGTTATATGCAACAATACAGCCAATACCAACTGCAATTTTCTACTGAAATCTGAGACTTGAAGAAGTGCATACCCTTTTGTATCTGTCAACCGCGATGGATATAAGCACGGATATTGAAGTGATCCGCACAGGCTAGAACAATCGTCCGGAACACCCTGCAGAGCCATGGGATGTCGAAGGAGGTACAGATAACGAACTACAACAATTTCTACTGGAATACACACAATACACACAACGAGTTGTCAGCAGCAGCCAGGGCGGTGATGAACAGGTGCGTGGTGCTCTCTTCAGCCTGACAGCGTAGATATAGATCACCAGGATATTGCCAAAGAAGCCGACCAGCATCATTATTCCCATGGTGACAATGACAGGGGACATAAGCACCGCTATCTGAAATTAGTATTCTTCAGCACTGTCTTGTATTAGTACCTTTACCAGGCGTTGCCATGGAGGACTGGAAACATAAGGAGATGACGAACGAGTATGGTTTATTTTTACGCCGCTTTCAGCAATATTCCAGAAATATCAAAGCGGGGGACGCCAGAAATGGGTTTCCGGCGGTACCCATATGGGGTGAGTCGAACCCATATGGTCTTCGGCGTGACGCTGAGAAACGAGGTCATATCGACCTGGTCCGATTTTTCGATGAAACTTACCTTTTACTCAAATTTCAAACTGAGTTTGACAATTTGAAACAGCTGAATTATTAAAATAAAAAAGCCCGAACAACTTAAGTATTCTGTTAACCGAACTCAAATTGTCTTCTACGTTTGAGTTTAATATCGATTTCTGTTCATTCTGGGAAATGCGTTTTCTCAAATTTGAGGTCAAAACAGAGACTTCCAGTTTGTTTCGAGAAATCGGGCCTGTCCTGGTTTCATGCAGTATAGATGGGTCATGATATGGGGGAAGAAACTATCACGTGACGCTACCGAGGTCATATCTTTTCTAAAAACTAAAACATTAAAAAGGAGGATGCGAGTTTTCACAAACCTCCATGTACTCACCTGCCTTGTTTCACAAGCAAGCAGGCCCAGAAACTGAACTGAGGCGTGTGCACATTTCGATCAGGACGTTCAAAGGGCTCAACTGCACCACTCATACAAATGTACGTGAAAGCAAGCTCAGAAGCTGCTGTTCGAAAAGGGTGGGGTCCAGCAATTATGTAGTCTAGATAAAATCTACCAGTTGTGGGTCAAGCTATCTTGTTTATGTGAGGGCTTTTTAAAATGTTTAATATGTTTTTAAGCGGGGTATGTATCCCAAATACACACGCACGACTGGTACGCACGACAGTGGGCGAGTTTGTGCACAACCCCAGCGTTAACACCCACCACACACCGAATTGTCGAATTCTCTCTCTCCAGTTGTATTGGTGTGAAATGCGTAAGCGTTTTTATACTACGCACTACTTTTGCGAAACAACACAAGGTGGAGGCTCTCAAAAAGCACGGCCTAGATGTATATGGGTATACAAACACTCACAGTTCATAGTTCTCTTATATTCAACGTGCTCTATAGTTCTCTGTGAAGGGTATATCTCTTGTATATATCATGTTCAATTGTGTCGATGCGTCACTTCAATAATCTCTGAAAGCCATTTTTCCCCATACCATCATGCCGTACTAATAGTTTCTGGACTCAAGTTGACCTATATATCACTGACGGAACATACTTACTGCGTACAGGTGTTCCGTTGTCCTTATCGAATATTAATTAATTTCGAAGTCATTTTTTGTAATTTGTGATTGATATGTCAAATGTCATCATATATACACTTTTGTGGAATGACACATATTATTTGTTGAACGATAATGAGCAAGTACACAGAAATTAACCAGATATACTTCCCCTACCGCTCATATACATAGTGGCTAAATATAGTTGCTGAAGTGAAAGTAGGAACAAATACCTACTTTCTGTTTACGGGGCTGCTCGCAGGAATGAGATGTGCGATGAATGTAACCGACAAAGCTTGATTTACCAGACTGGGAGAATTAACGCTTCATTTCATTTTATTTTAGAATTTAGGGGTAGTAAAAATCATGGAAGTCAAAATGTAAGTAATATTAAACTGCTGTTTTGTGTTTATTTGTTGTTTAATGCCGCACTAAGAATTGTTTTCCCACGTATTTGAGGGCGGTCTGTAAAATAATAATCGAATCTAGACAAGACAATCAATTCAGTGACTGACTTCATGATTTGACGTACTCTGACGTTTTAATTTGACGTACATTGACTGGTTTTACGACCGTCATTTTGTTGAGAAACCTAAAATGTAGTCAGGATCCAGGGGCCTCGGGTATACTTCTCAATGTAGAAGCGTTACCACCAAAGACTTAAAAACACTTTTGATACGTGCCTAATGTTAATATTTGACTTTTTAACTTTTACATGAAAATATAATTCCATTTAGCTTTATTTGGATAAATGTCGTTATAGTACGCTCCATGCATTTCCTGAATTCCTACAATTATTCTCATCCTACTGACAATTACATATCATTTCTTTACAGCAAACACAACAAATGCCTCTTAACAAAACACGTGCTCATGTTTATAAATACCCAAAGATGTGCATTTCATCATCCGCTTACATTACGTCATCACACAATTGGACACGTCATCATAATATTTATATTACGTCACTTTCTTTCATTCCTCCGCCATTTTAGATAACCGTCATTTTATCAACCACTTGTTAGCAATTTCATTTTTATCATCTTTTCTCAGTTTCCCTCCCACCGTCCCCATGTTTGCCAAACCGTTTTATTCTATCACTTTCCTGCAACTTTAAATCAGGTTTCTCATCTCAAACTTCCAAATACTACAACTGTTATCAATCCCTATCTCTATGTTACATAACCTTAATCTCTTTACCCACAGATTTCATCCTTAATGGTTTAACTTTGTTGTACAATTAGATTGAATTAAAATGACGTCAGGTGGCGAGGTTCGGGGCGGACGCGGGACCGATCTCTCGCTCGATTTATACCTCGCTGCTGCTGCTGCTAGGCTGTCTGTTTTCCAATAAAGGCTACTTCCAACCTTCGGATTGGTCAAAATAGCATTTAAAACATCGCCGCTACCTGTCTCGTCTGTTCAGGGTCCAACGGAGAGCAAGTCATTAAATCGCTTTGGCTTGGCCCTGCGTCCGCCTTCGCCTTCGCCTTCCACACCTGGCCTTTGTTAATCCAATTCTCTACTTTGTTATCAATTTGTTGTTTAGTTTATAGGAGAGTCGGACAATAATGACGAGACATGCAGCCTCGTACATCATGTTGAAATTAGAATTGTAACCCACTGAGCCAATGGGGCAGGTAACGAGAAGGCGTTCAATCTCACGTCATAACACGAGGTCATTTCTCTCGTGTGTGTCATTCGTTATATACCGTTACGGCTGTATTATGGAATATTTTGCATATTTTTGAAATGTCATAATGAAATGCTGAGATAAAACAATGGTAAAAAGGTTTCTGAACAGTACAAATTCACGTGAATAAAACATTTGTAAAAACATTTACTAGCTTTTAAAACAGTATAGCCAAATGACTAAAACGATTATGGAACCATACAAATTCACAGGAAAACAAAAACGTTTTAAACATTTCCGGAACTTTTCGCGAAGTATTTTGGGGATGTTTTTTATCACATTTTCGTGTTAGCTGGGTTGTTTTTCATACAACTACGGAATCCCAATTTTTTTACTATTGATCTTTATGATATTACTTTACTATTGATCTTTATGATATTTCTTTACTATTGATCTTTATGATATTTCTTTACTATTGATCTTTATGATATTTCTTTACTATTGATCTTTATGATATTTCTTTACTATTGTTCTTTATGATATTTCTTTACTATTGATCTTTATGATATTTCTTTACTATTGATCTTTATGATATTTCTTTCATTTCGATTTTCAAATGTAATGCATGAGTTCGGGGAAAAGCCTTCGAGCATCATCCACTCGTAGTCATCTGTTTCTCTTGTGTCCTCAACGTACCAGAATACCCGTGAAGATCCGGGTCAGAACTGATCTTCTGGAACCCATGCCTGTCTTCACAGGCGACTAACGGGATCGGGTGGTCAGGCTCACACATGTTATCGTGCCCCAATTTCGTAGATCGACGTTAATGATGTTATTCTTTGGATTGTCTGGTCCGAAACTTAGAGCTGGAATATATCTGACAGCGGTGTTATACAACAAACGAACGTTATTTAAATCTGATAATATGAGATCATGTTTGAAAGATCACAATTGTGTATGCTAGATTCCATTCTAGTGAACCGCCTCCGTGATGTAGTGGTCAGAGCATCCGCCCGGAGAGAGGAAGGTCCAGGTTCGATCTCCAGCCGCGTCTTACCAAAAGACGTTAAAATATGCTACTTGATGTTCCCTACCTAGAGCTCGGCATTAATGAGTAAAAAGGCGGTTTCTACGTTTGCATCCTAAAAGAAAAGGTAAGCATATTATCACTGTAGATATCAGATGCTATTGTAACATCTTTTCCGCCTACAAAGTAGGTATGACAACACTGTAGCAGTGCTTAACATCTCGATTTAATTTACTTTTCAAAAAACTCTTTTTGCAGCAGATTAATAAAACCTTTGTTTTAAATATAACAAACCAATATGTCGGGTACAGGTCGTCGCAGCCGAGAATGAACTTCCCGCGCTATGACGTCACATTTATAGACATATCTGACAGCGCCCTCTAGACCATGCATTACCTCCCCTTTTATCTGGTTTGTCCCTTAAGTGAAATCAATTTCTATCTAATTCACCCAGCTCAAACGACAGAAATTTCATTCCTAGTGTACCCCGCCGTGATATTGCTCGTAAAAGCGACCTTAAGACATACTCACTCACTGACACACTAACTCACTCTCTACAGAGCAATATTCTAGCGGTTACTGTCTCTTTAGCGGTGTCTGTCTACATTTTGTCACGGATGTTCATGTGAATTAGCATGCTTAAACTGCGACGAGTTTCACGGAGCGTCTTGCGATACTCAAATTGTTTGATCGGAGTTGCATCTTTCGCTGTCTTGGTAAAACGGTTTGGTGTTGTGGTTAGAGCGTACGCCCGGAGAGCGGAAGGTCGCGGGTTCGATCCCCGACCGCGTCATACCAAAAGACGTTAAAATGGTACTTGTTGGTCCCTGCCTGGCGCTCAGCATTAATGGGTACAACAAGGACTGGTTGGCTCGGAGTCAGTATAATGTGTCTGAGTGGTGTATTCATGCTTCACTGCGGCATGGTATCTCAGTGGGTTAGTACTATAAAACCAGCTTCAGTCTGGGCTAGTACAAGCAGCCGCACACACACACATATATATACACACGCATGAACGTCGTCATATGAGCGAAATATTCTCCAGCACGACGTTAAACCCAATTTCACCTCACCTCACCTCACTTGCACCATGTCAAATCTTTGAAGGGCATTTAGAAGTGGAATACATAAGAAAAGCAAGATTTATGCAGGATGTCAACTTCTTCACTGTGAAACGTCGTGTTATTGACAATAAAGAAGTTGACATCCATAAACCTTGCTTTTCTTTCGCACCATGTGTTTGTACGTATGATCGCCTGTCTCGAACGCTTGGTGTCAATGCTGTTTGAGGCAATTGAGACAATCATTGATACAAGTACCTTGGAACTTTTATTGATAGCAGGTTAACGTGGAATACCGACACAGATGCCCTGTATAGTAAATGTCAACAACGCCTCCATCTAATGCGTAAGCTACGATCTTTTAATGTTTCCCAATCTGTTATGATGTTGTTTTATACCACTTTTATTCAGAGTTTACTCACTTTTTCTTCTCAGTGCTGGTTCGAGTCTCTTTCCGTCAAAAACAAATCAAAATTGTAAATATAGCTTGTAAAATAGCCGGGGTCACTTTCGATAATCTTTCACTTCTCTATGAGCGGCAAGTACTTTCAACGTCTGAAAAAATCATTAATGACACAACACATTTTTTTAAATCTAGAGTATAAGCTTTTACCTTCGGGCCGCCGCTATACAGTGCCAATCACCGAGACTAAACCAGCTCGAACGTCTTTTGTACCTCAAAGTATTGCAATTTTAAACAAATGTTGTTATTCATTTGTACTTTTGTCAAGCTCTGTGAACCAAAACGAATTCCTTTTAAGGTAATAAAGTATTGTCTGTCTGTCTGTTATAATGTACATGTAGTCGAATTGTACAGCCATTCTGATTTTAGCATAGATTTGTGATGATGGAAATTGTATTGGTAAGTTATTTGTAAATGTTTTGCGGGGTGATAGTGCACGCTTCTCTCGCTCCCATCAGCATCAGTGACTCGGTCGTCTTTGCAGAGGGCATGTATGTATCAGTTCAACCTGCGGACATCCGGGTTATCTTCAGCAAACTTGTCAGTGGTCAAGCTCACTGACATGGTTGATGCGCGGCATCGTATCCCAGTTGCATATATCAATGCTCATTATGTCGGTCACTGGATTGTCTATTCTAGATTCCATTGTGTACAAACCACCCTCCAAAACCTGGAACAATGCTGAGTGTGGAATTAAAACAAAAACAAAAACACAAAACATTCGTTCAATACGACTTACATCAAAACTATTTTGACTCCCATGATTTTTATTACCCCCCAAATTCTAAAATAACCTGAAATTAAGCAATAAATCTCCCAGTCTGAGTAAATCAAGCTTTGTCGGTTACATTCATTGCACATCTCATTCCCCTGCGAGCAGCCCGTAAACAGAAAGTAGGTATTTGTTCCTACTTTCACTTCAGCAACTATATTTAGCCACTATGTATATGAGCGGTAGGGGAAGTATATCTGGTTAATTTCTGTGTACTTGCTCATTATCGTTCAACAAATAATATGTGTCATTCCACAAAAGTGTATATATGATCACATTCAACATATCAATCACAAATTACAGAAGGACTTCGAAATTAATTAATATTCGATAAGGACGTCGGAACACCTGTACGCAATACGTAAGATCCGTCTGTGATATATAAGTCAACTGAAAACGTTCATTATGTAGTACGGCATGATGGTATGGGGCGGTTTTCCTATATGGATTACTGGCAAGGTGCCATTACTACTACCATAGTGTAGATTCGCAAGCATGATGCTATCGTCGCTGATACGACACGCTAGAGCCTCATATACATCTAGGCCGTACTGTTTTAAAATCCTTCACCAAGTGTTTTGCAGTGTATAACAATTGCCTCAAACAGCATCGACACCAAGCGTTCGAGACAGGCGATCCTACGTACATCACATGATGCATGTCAGTACACATCGTAACATCGTTATTATATTCCCGATGGTATCGTTAAAAATATAATTATATTGGCAATTTCGAAGTGGATTATTTGTCTTGTTGCACTGACTCACATTATGTATAATTTATTAAAAATTAACAATAATACAAAACTACAGTGGGTATTGTTTCCCTACTATTGCTTTTAATAGCAATCAGTAGGTTAATAGCATTTTCCCCCGTTCTGTAGAAATGATTTCATCAGGTGCTCATTATAATTACTCATACTGTTTCCACCATGGCATTTCCCCCATCTTATCGAACTGATACTATGGACTTTTTAATTCTCCTTTTTTACATGTTTTCTTTCTTTTCTCAAATTATGTAAAAACATTTCCTTTGACTTTACTGAATGCTTTCACTCTACCTCAGTTGACTCTGATATCTATTTGCAAACTGAGATAATCATTCAAGATTTAAACATGTTTGACCCTATGTTATCCCTACAACAACCTGATATGTTAAAAGAAATGACACTTTGTGTTTATATACAACAAATATAGGATGGTTTTGATATGCATCTACAGACTGCCTACAACAGAGTGTTTGAATGTATAGATGCTGGTTGACATCAGTCAGTACAGACAGGCAATGGGGACATTTGCAGTCGGGCTACACTCGTATGCAGCGTGTAAGCTAACTATTTCCACATTTCTATCCTGACATTTGCGTTTTCAGCAAATCTGTTAGTATTATCGCATCTCTTCTAATACTCTGTTGTGGAGACGTACATCCTGACCCTGGCCCAGTACTAAATACTTTAAAGATAGAAGACTTAAATGTTTGCAGTCTCAAAGAAAAATTGGATGTTATAGAAGTTGATTTTTAATTCTTTTGATTCATTTGCATAACTGAAACGTGGGTGCATAATACCCGCGTCTCATTTGAGGCGGAATGCTGTTGGAATGAAAATTCCTGGAAATTCGAACTGCATTCTTAAACTTCTTACTGCATTCCGAATGCATTCCAACCTTTCGGGTTAATTCTTGTAACGAGCCCGAATGTTTTGAACATGTTCAAAACTTTCGAGGTACATTCAAAGTGGACAAATATCGAAGTGCGTTCTAAACTGCATTCTAAGAATTCTTACAGCATTCTAACTGCATTGTAAGTGTTTTACTGCATTCTAAGTATTCGAGAGAGAATGGAAATGGTAAGCCACTTCAGATCCTGTCAAAATGTCCCGGATGCGTCTTGAATGTATCTCTGTTGCTGGTGGAATTCAGGTGGAATATTCGTCAAATGTATCGGAATATTTCTATTGCAGTTGGAATACAGCTAGAATGTACCTCGAATACAGTCAGAACGTCTCGAATGCTCATCAAATATGCCCTGAGGTCATCAGAACACCGCCGAATCGCATAAAAACGTGGCCACCTTTCACAGAAACGCCAGATAGCATTTGGGAGTCGCATTCTTATAAAGCTTGAAAAATTGTTTATTTTGACATTCTCTCCTTTTTGGTTCGACTTTTGGAAAAAAAATTTATTATTATGGTTGATTAATGATTCCTGTCAATTCGAAATAAATGTGAAGGAGGCTTAACGACATTCCGAACGATGATACCGGGATTTCAACCTCCACTCCGTAAAGATCGAGGGAGTCGCGGGGGCGGTGTGGCTATATATGTTAAAGGCAATTTGTATGCGGAGCATATGCACCAGCTGGACATTCCTGGACTTGAAGCTGTATGGACTCGTCTTAAATGTAAACATCGTACCTACCTCATAAGTACCTTCTACAGAGCTGACCTTCGCTGACCGGAGCGTTGCGTACTGGAAACTAACTTCGATTTAGCGTATTTAGTTGTTACAGGCGACTTTACTGAAGATATGTTAAATGAAAGTAAGCGTAAAATTCAATTATTGGAATCATTACACGGACTAACCCAAATTATTTTCAAACCGACTCGAATCACCCGTCAATGCATTACTTGAATTGATCTCATATTTATATCCTCTATGCAAAATGTGCAGGATCGCAGGGTGTTAGACCCTATTTGCAGTGACCATTGTCCGATATATGTTGATATCAAATGTGTTAGACCCAGGTGTGATATTTAACGTAACATGTATGATTATCAACATATGGACGTTAATGGTATGATTTCTGACATCAATAATCTTGACACTGATAACTTATTCTCAAACAACAACGTGGATGACATAGCAAAATAAATTAACGACTATAATAAGAAGTACTTGTGACAAGAATATCACAAATAAAATTGTTACTATTCGACTATCGGATGCACTTTGGATGAATAACGAAATTAGAAGCGCAATAGATCACAGTAAGCGCAATAGACATCATCAGCTAAAGAAGAAATATATATATATATACACACACAGAGAGAGAGAGAGAGAGAGAGAGAGAGAGAGAGAGAGAGAGAGAGAGAGAGAGAGAGAGAGAGAGAGAGAGAGAGAAATGCTGGTGGAATTAAGTTAGTAATTACGTGAAGAGATATAATAACCTCCCCGACGATTGTGAATGGTGTCGTAAGGGAAGTGTAAATGGTTGTACAAATTACACACCAGTAGCCTTAACTAATTGTGTATCTAAAATATTTGAGCGATGTATATTCAAACATGTTTTCAATTATCTCAGAGGCAATAACCTCTTATACAATTTACAATCAGGTTTCATCCAGGGACTCTTGCGTGAACCGGTTGATATATCTGTATAATTTCCTAGTCAAGGCAATGAACGAAGGTAAGGAAATACGCGCAGTATTTCGCGATATCAGCAAAGCTTTTGACCGAGTGTGGCGCAAAGGTCTCGTGCATAAGTTAAAATCTTGTGGAACTGATGGTTCACTGTTACAATGGTAAGTTATTTAGAATATCGATCCCAGCGTGTAGTCTTATATGGTTATAGTTCTAATATTAAACCGGTAACAGCTGGCGTCCTACAGGGTTCTGTTCTAGGACCACTTCTGTTTTTTGGTCTACATAAATGATATTGTTGAAGGCATTGACAGTAATATACGATTATTTGCCGATGATACTTCTGTGTATGTAATAACCCTTACGTATCGGCGTTTAGTCTGAATAATGACCTACTACAAATAGCAAACTGGGGCAAAAAACCTGGAAAATCGATTTCAACCAATCAAAACTAAAACAGTCTTATTCAGTAGGAAATCAAATTCAAATCCTCATCCAAGCTTGTTTTTCAACAACGTCCGAATTAAAGAAACTTCGAGACATAAACATTTACGTAGGTATAACTCTTCAAAACGATTGTACATATCGTATTTATAAACGATATAAGAGAGTCAACCCCATGATAAACTGCCTTAAATATCGACTAACGAGAAACACCCTGGATCGTAAGTACACGTCGTTTATTCTTCCGATCTTTAACTACTGTAGCCCAGGTAATCATATTTATGACAATTGCACCAAAACACAAGCAACAGTATTGGAAACATGCACTTATAGACGCGTTACGTACGATATGCGGAGCTGTTCGCGGCACCAGTAACGATAAAATCTACGATGAAAAATCCTCTGAAAAAAATTGCGAAAGAAGCAATTTGCAAAGCTAGTCACAAAGCTAGTAATTCTGTTAGTACTAGTAGTATACTGTAGTTGAAGTAGGGCGCTAAATACACACACACACAGTGTTAGTAACACGTGACACATCTCCATAATGACTGTTATTTAGTTTGGAGGAGTTTGGAGAAGAAGCCCAGTTGCTGATGTTTTGTGTTGGGTTGGGGGGGGCATAGCCCTGACACTGAAAAAATCACACTTACGAAAACTCGCAGGTGCCCTTGCAATTACCGCCATATAGATGTTTTAGTGTTTCATGCAATATACGTCATTGTTTTCAAGTTAATTTTACGTCACAATACTAGAGTCTTGACAAGTGCATTGGAAATACCAAATAAGAAATAGAGAATTTGTTGGATTTCTAAGCGAACCAACGCCGGTTTTATTTTTAAAAATTATGTAGAATATGTAGATGTAGAATTTTGTAGAACGTGGAATGACTAGAAGAAGACATCATTGTTATAGCAAACTGCATATTAATTCAGTGTGTTAGTCGTTTGTTGTCAGGATCCGCTGATTATGGGTTCGAATCCTAGATTAGCCTTGAATATATGATCCTTGGTTTGTCAGTGCATTCTCTTCCTCAAGACCCGTGAAGGTCCCGGGTTAGAATGTGCCTTCAATAACCCATGCTTGTCGTAAGAGGCGACTAACGGAATGAGGTGGTCAGGCTCGCTGACTTGGTTGACACTATCCGAGAGCCGCGATGCGGTCCTATACAGTCAAGACATGACCCTGCTAGGTTGACACATGTCATCGGTTCCCAATTGCGCAGATCGATGCTCGTGCTGTTGATCACTGGATTGTCTGGTCCAGACTCGATTATTAACAGACCGCCGCCATATAGCTGGAATATTGCTGAGTGTGGCGTAAAACTAAACTCACTCGCTCACTCTTCCTCAAACTATCCTCCCGGCACATTAACTGAATTCTGGCGTAGGCCCCTATAACTCTCATTTGCGAAATATATTTACCTATGCATGAAAGCCATAGTCTTTTCTTCAATTGTGTGAAAATGTTCTTACAGTAAATATATTTACAAATTAAAGTGAAGTTAAACTCAATTTACAACTGACAAACAATGTCTCAGCAAATGGAATCCGTCCGATTATCAATATCCAGTTCACGCGCTGTTCACTGTTGTCCGGTTCCTCCGGATTATTATCCCACTTCCTGCCTGATGCAAACTTGCGTTATCAAGGTAAACAACGTCAAATAAGTCATTAGTCGTCCGCTCAGTCGTAATATATTCAAGGCGATTAACAGTGTTTCAGATTCCTTCCTTTTTCGAACTGAGTGTCTGGAGGTCACTCTACACGGTAAGTTAAAACATGATGACATGCTGTTGTGTCATTACGTTAGTCCAGTTTTCGATCACTATCAAACAGCTGGCGGCCTTATCGAAAATCAAATTGAAGGTCGATAGCTACCATAATGGCAGGTGCACTTCGGTCATTTGTAAGGTATACGGTTAGGTATGGCTGTATGGTAATCAGATAAGCAAGTAAATTACAGCGTCTGTGTTCTCAACAAGATCATTAAACTCTATTGCTACCCTAATTGGCCGATTTCATCTAAGGTATAAAAAGAATGGGAAAGAATTCGCACGTATGCCCCTTTAAATTTCATTCTAGTCAAATCATATCACCTGAATATATATTCTTCATCTGATAAGAATGGAGTTTTAACATTATTCTTTAATTGTATCTGAATATACTGAAAGACATATAAACTTCTAAAAATGCCACTCAAAGATATTTTTCCTCATCGTTAAAATGTATGGGGGATACGGGGGGAAGTCTTACCAAAACGTGGAATAGATTTGTATAGATACGGTTTGGATAACATATCATGATATAAGCTGCGCTGTTTTGTGTTTATTCTGCAATAACCCTAGTATCAACATAAGCATGATAAGAGGCCTAATTTCTATATCTATGTAATTTGTGTGTATTGTAACCTAAACCATTTCACAGGTATATGTTTTGCTCAGTAAAACTTCTGTCCATAACCCTTTAGTGTTTATGATCCATAAGCCCAGGTTAAGAGTATTTAAGTATCATGTACAACATATAAGAGTAAGACTTCCGCCTGTATCCCAGCTAAATTTTAACGATGAGGAAATCTTATATATTCAAGTAATATGATTTGATTTAAGGGGGAGATACGAGCGGAAGTCTTTCCGTTATATCCTGAAAGTGTTATGGTGCTGCAGTTTTCAGTGTTTTGTAATTAGTCACACCTTGGAAACTAAAACCGGTATATCATGAATTGATTAAAATGATTACTTGGGAACACAACCCATTACATGTTCAAGATTCATTATGTTCAATGCTATATGACCCATGTTGCAATAAAAATCTGTAAGTGTAACACGTGAGGTTACATGTCACCTCTAGGGTGAATTTCATAAAATAAATATGTTGCAAAAGATCTTTAAATGTACACAGTTGGTATGGTAGGATATTATTTACTAACAAATCACTGAATTTAAATCCTATATTTTCTTATGAAGGGGTGTTGCATATGACATTCTCATCTTCAAAAACATTACATGTTCTATACATAAATTACATGAGGATTTGATCAAGTTATATCCCCTGGGAATATATTGTATTCCAAATGTGTTATACTAACTGCAAAAAAAGAATGAAAGGTTCTTTACTGTTATGGAATACTTATTTGAGTTAAAGAGGACTTACATTCTTAAAAAAAGCTGTAGAGTTGATGAACTGTTTTATCACTATTGAAAAAGTGCTAATATTGTCTTTAATTATTCCTAACGTGCACAGACTAGCTTTTCTTGAAACGTTCATAGCCCTACGAACTTCTTAAGCCCATTCTTAACACATTGGCTACGATCAAAGTTAAAAATTCTTAGGACTACGAACGTTTCAAGAATAAGGCCCCAGGTGAATGTAACTTCGTAATGCGTTTTTTTTATGCATGTTTAAGAGGGGATACTCTTGAGTATATGAATCTGAGGGAATGCCCTATATCATTCACATTTTCAAGTCTATATAATCCATATTACATAACATGCCTGTGTTTAATCACTGAATATGATTAATAAGCTTGATTTTGTCCTGTTTCCAGAAATGGCAGATGCAATAGATGGTGCCCCTGAATCAAGAGCTGAAGCTAAAGGTCAAGCTCCTGAAGGCTCCAAGAAAAAGAACAAATCAAAAAACAAAAAGTCAGGTGGAGATGGAGGTTCCAAAAACACTCCGAAAGAGGAAGTCGTGAAAAAACAAGATGGTCCAAATCAAGGCACCTCAAAAGATGACACTGCAAAAGAAGAGGGACAGGATGTTCCACAGAAAAGCAAAGCAGAACTTAAAGCAGAACGTAGAGCTAAACAGGTAAGAAATAACATTATTTGTGACTTTGTGTAATGGAAAAAGGGAAATCTGTCTTTTTTTGTGAGCAATTTCGGCATGGGCAACTAAAATTTGCTTTTCACTTTACAACTCTCTCTTTCACCACCAGCAAGAAAATCTGAATTACACAAACACTGGACAGTGGAAGCCCTTTAAACCAGCATGTGTTGGGACCAGCAAACAATGCCGGTTTAGAGAACGTTTCCCTTTTCAACCTGAGAATGATATTCCCGCTTGACTGGTCTAGGCATCTAGACACGGTGAGCGACTGACAAATTGTGACACGACAATTAATTTATAATATAATTGACAGGTGACACTCACCAATTTACCTCACCTACTTATGCTTAACCATACTCCACCGTACTTGACTGTAATCTACTGTGTTGTTAATACATGTTCAGCCAATCAACAGGAGAGCCAAGATAGCGGATGCCGGCTTAGTGAGTGTTAATTACTGTACAAACAGTCAACTGGGCGGTCTTTATTGTGCCGAAATACGGAATAGACTGACACCGGATTAGAGGGTGTATAAATGTTTATAAATTAACTTGCTTTTGTCGGGACCAAATTCTAACGCCGATATTGAGAGCATGCCAGATTGGAGGGATGCTGGTTTAGAGGGCTTCCACTGTATGTTGAAACGGAAGTGTCAGGAATGTTATTTTTTACAACACACCTGTATACAATGAATAAGACGTTTAAAAGATGAGCTACTTCCCCTACTCTCATAGTGAGACTATTTTTCAGTGATGGCAATTTTTCGCTGATCCGTTGATTTCTGCCAATTTATTTCAAATTCATCAATTCAAACCCCCAATTCAATGACACAATGTTAAGTTTTCAGCTAAAAATAGATTTCATGTTGCCATCCATGTTTTAATCCAGGTGACAAACGCTTTTTATATGTTTGTCCACATTGTCCCACAATATTAACGGCATGTTTTTATCACCTGTTTAAAGTCAGTAATTTCAAGCTTCACTTCTACAATTTTTGTAATATTTTCTACAATTTTCTTAGGAGGCACAGAGAGCTGCCAAGGCCACAAAAAAAGTTGAGGGTGCAGGTGAGACAGTATTTGTATGATCCTTATGAAAGGTCATGTAGAAGTTACTGTGATGTATCCTACAGCATGTAATGGAAACCACTACCATGGTGAAAATTCTGTTAAACTTTTCATATGTTACCATGATTATGAATTTCATAATACAATTTCTTCCTTAAGTCATGTGAGTAATATGCCAGTCTGTGAAACAAGTTTCATACAGACTAAGTCTTCGCCTCTACTAAGAGGGGGTTACTACTTAGCCGTAGACTGTCTGCTACAAAGACAAAAACATCTTGTTTATCAACTGGTGTGATGTATATTTATTGTGTTAGATTTTTCCAGTAGAAACACTCCACTTGTATTTTCACATGTTCCTGTAGTTGAGATCAAAACTAAGCAATAGAATTACTAACTTTTCGAATCAAAGGGTTGTACTGAATACAATTGAATGCTGTCAACAATACCTGAAAATGGAACATAACGCCAGTAACAAAACAACAGCAAGTTGATCCACCTAAGTTCTGTGATGAATTTGTGTATATTTTGCTGTCAAAGGAAAGTCAGACCTGTGCCTTTGGCAGAATTTGATGCCGAGATGTGCGCTACCATACATAACATCACCATCTGACAACCGTATTGTCAGTCTTCTGTGGCTTGACCAGATAATCGTAGTAAAATACTAATGGTAATTTGGTAAATTTGCCAACTATGAGCTAGTCTAAAAAGTAAGCTTCAGACTTCAATGCTTTGGACACATAAAATGGTTATCCCTTATAGGCACTGTGGCACTGGAGGTGCATAACAAGATTTAAACATCAGAAGGATGAGGGGGTCTACTTTAAGCCAATTTGTATGAGCTAGTTTGGATAAGTAGCTCTCATTCAATCTGTCTGTGGTCATATTTAACCAAATAATGCCAAATATAAACTCATCTCACCTTGTCAGACTGCTAGTTTTCTGCTGTAACTCAAGTTTGTTCCCTTGGTCTCACAACAGGTCAGCAGAAGAAGGAGACGGTGCGAGTCCCGGACCATGTAAAGGCTGACGTACCAGAAACACAGAAGAAGCTAGCTAAGAAACTAGAGAAGCAGCAAGTACCACAGAGAGCCAATGTCCAGCGCAAGGTCCGCCTCTTCAACCATCTGTACCAATATGAAAGAGAGGTCCCTCCGACGCACTCCTTACAGTCAGTATACTTACATGTTGTCATAATTCCCTCCGACGCACTCCTTACAGTCAGTACACTTACATGTTGTCACAATTCCCTCCGACTCACTCCTTACAGTCAGTACACTTACGTGTTGTCATAGTTCCCTCCGACTCACTCCTTACAGTCAGTATACTTACATGTTGTCATAATTTCCTCCAGCACACTCCTCATCATCATTTCCCTTCCCAGTTGTTATATTTCAGTCTGACACATGCCTAACAGTCAGTTAACATCGTGGTTGTTTAAATACCTTCCAGAAGACTCATTATCATCATCATCATCATCATCATCATCATCATCATCATCATCATCATCATCAGCACGCCTCTCAACTGTTATAATTCCCTCCAACCATTTACCTACCCTCAGTACCCCTTTCAGTTGTTATTTATAGCAACACTATGTTGAGTCTGTCATTGTGATAACTCAATGTTTCAGATTCTCAAATGGTGGCATCCACCCGGCTGTTGTGAAGCTCGGTGTTCAGTATGCAGAAGGCCTTGTCAGTGGATCTAATGCCAGATGTGTGGCTTTGTTAGCTGCTTTCAAAAAGGTGAGTTCAGTTTAGGCAAGGTGATGTTCAGGATCTGCAAAACTATCGTTTTGTCAGTCTGGAGCCCGATCCACAAAGCCTTCTTGGCACTACATCATTCGTAAGCCTACGGCAAACTATGTAGTTACAATAGCTCGTAACATTACGAACACTTTGTGGATTGGCACCCAGGTTACTGGGTGTTCTGGAATATTCTGTAAGAATTACCTATAGGACATCTCCAACATTGTAAAGCAGAACCGTGTAAACATCTCCAACATTGTAAAGCAGAACCGTGTAACCATCTCCAACATTGTAAAGCAGAACCGTGTAACCATCTCCAACATTGTAAAGCAGAACCGTGTAACCATCTCCAACATTGTAAAGCAGAACCGTGTAACCATCTCCAACATTGTAAAGCAGAACCGTGTAAACATCTCCAACATTGTAAAGCAGAACCGTGTAAACATCTCCAACATTGTAAAGCAGAACCGTGTAACCATCTCCAACATTGTAAAGCAGAACCGTGTAAACATCTCCAACATTGTAAAGCAGAACCGTGTAAACATCTCCAACATTGTAAAGCAGAACCGTGTTAATACTCTTCATCATTCAGGGTCACATTATAGAAGATCCGTGAAGATCTGGGGTGGAATAGGTCTTCAGCAACCCATGTGCTTGCCATAAAAGGCGACTATGCTTGTTGTAAGAGGCGACTAACGGGATCGGGTGGTCAGTTTCGCTGACTTGGTTGACACATCTCATCGGTTCCCAATTGCGCAGATCGATGCTCATGCTGTTGTTCACTGGATTGTCTGGTCCAGACTGGATTATTTACAGACTGCCGCCATATTGCTGAGATATTGCTGAGTGCGGCGTTAAGCTAAACTCACTCACTCACTCACATTATAGAAGGGGATATAATTCAGCATTGACTTGACATGGAAGGTTTCCACAAGAGGTTTGCATTATCCGTGGTGATATAGTGTAAGCTTATTTTCAATAAAGTTTATGTAATCAACATAATCCGATTGGAGTAATCATTGTTCTTGGTATCAGCCACTTATTTTCATTCCCAAACTTGATTATAATCATTATTCATTAGCTGGAATATTGCTAAGAATGGTGTAAAACTAAACTCATGCACACCCATGACTACAGTGTTCTACAAAAGCAGCAGCCTTGTGGGATACTTTGTTGATAGACGCATAAATTTTATGCTCAGTGGGACTCAAGGCGCATATATGTAGATGGTTTTTATTTTTCGTATAATTATGGGACTCAAATGCGTATTGTATCATGACATGTATCATCCCAGCCCTATTATGAGTGAGTGAGTTTAATCTTACGCCGCTTTTAGCAATATTCCAGCAATATCACGGCAGGGGACACCAGAAATGAGCTTCACACATTGTACCCATGAGGGGAATCCAGCCCTATTATGCATCTGAATTCACTATTAGCTCCTTTCATTAGCTGAAAGTCACAAATGGTCCAATCAGAACTGAGCTTTTACAAATATTGTAGTCATAGCACTGGAAATACCAAAAAGGTTTCTCATTCACATGAATCACCTTCAGGCCGCCCACAAATTATATTAGTAAAAGTGATGAATTCCGTTTCATAACTTCTTGCAATAATGATTTGGGCATGTATTGATACACACCACAATATATTAAATACAGTTTTGCTGTTCATCATTGGGTATGGATGAAAAAGACTTTCCACTTGCATTTTTGACAAATTCATATGTTGTTGCTATGTCACAATGGCTAAAGTAACAGACACACTATACACATTAATCTGGTTGTTTCTTCTTTCACACAATGGGCGGTGAGGTAGCCTAGTGGTCAAAGCATTCACTTGTGAAGCCAAAGACCTGGGTTCAATTCCCCACATGGGTACAATGTGTGAAGCCCATTTCTGGTGTCCCCCAGCTGTGATTTTACTGGAATATTGCTAAAAGCGGCGTAAAACTAAACTCGTCTTTTCACACAGGAAAAACTTGTTCATGTCATACTCTTTATATTTCAGTTTGACTTTTGAATTGTTCTCTTTTATGTAAACATATTGAGCAGGATGATTATATGCATGAGTTTGAAAAACACAATGTATCAGTATAATGGATTTTCCAAACATATTGCGATATTTAATCACTGGTATTTCATATACAAAAACCAGTAATACTGCACCTTTAGTTAGCGATACACACAATGCCTCATAGAGCACATCTGACAGTGACTAAGGTGTCACTAAGGAAAGGTATTAAAAACGGCAAAGGTAGAAATTTTCAACGAACCTGGCTTCGTGACAGCACATTATCGCAGCATGATTTGAAAGGAAATACTATGATTTGTCAGCTTTGTATAGATTTGTGAAATCTAATTGAATGAGAAAACTAAGTTAGACTTTTTGAACAAGTAGAGACATACTAATGGTAGTGATCACCTAGAAGCTGGTGTGGCTAAATACAAGACATGGGATGTTGCTGCTACTGCAGTTTGTTACATATGAGAACGATGCCATCTGTTACTTGTGGATGGTGATTCTGCATCAACAAGCTGCAATTTGGGTTTTAATTTTTATATGACAGAGTGGCCCCTTAAGTTTTGTATTTACGCTTGGCAGAACACTGAGACTGCTACAGGCAGCCACACACATTCCACTGTAGAACTAAAACAACAGCAATAGTCTCGAATACCATGTTAAACACACCTTTCGCATCACCTCACTGATAATGATGAATTCTAATTCAACTTAGTATGTAACACAAGTTCTGAGTGGTCAATGCTATAAATTTCCGACTGTATAATCAGCATATACGGTTGCAATTTGGAAACCGATTCACCGAAACCTTTGAATGTATCCCTACACTATTGGGGTGACGGTACATTTCAGGGCATTATCATTTCCAGAAGCCCTAGGTCAATTTCACTCCCCTATCCCACTAAAATGGATGGAATTTGTGTTAAAAAAGACAAAACAGTATCATACATTTAATTGTAAGTTCAAACAACTTACTCACAACGGGCTGTTGACCCAGCACTGTTAGGTCGTGAAACAAGATTTATGATGTCATTATGGAGCGTGACATCACCTGCTGTGACATCAGTTGACAACAGAACTGATAATGGCCCGTAGTTGAGGAATCAGCAGGCCACTATCATTTGCAGCGGCCCGCTCGTTTCTGATAATTAGAGGGCGGTTTCATGATAATTCCGTCCATTTTAGCTATAACACTATGACTTATTCATCATTGTCAAATTTAGTCAGTGGCACATAATAAACGTGTTGAAGTTTGAAAAGGGGACATTCTGGCGATGGTGTAAGTCGCCGATATAACTAAATTTGCAGCTATATAACCACCGGTATATGTCCCCAATTCGTCAAACACAGTGCAGTTATCCCCTTATTATTGCTGTCTCTGCTGACAGTGGCAAAAATTACCATTCAATCCTTTATGTGTGTTTTCTGGGAGCCCTTTTTGATGTAAGCAAACTTTACTTGCATTGAGAATATTGATACAAGACTACTTCTAGACACTATGTCACTCATGTTTATTACATGAAGAAAGATCACTAACATGCATAACGTCAATTGCAGGTGATCACGGATTACAATACTCCCCCACAGAAGGAACTGTCCCGGGACTTGGAGAATAAAATCAAACCCTACATCAGGTAAACTTGCTGTTCATCACACTGAATGAATAGGCCTTTCCGTACTGTCTCGTCAAGGAGCTGATAAGAGATAACGACAGTAAATGAAAGTTGTACAGATATTAGTGTGACATAAAGACAGTCACTTAAACACTTACAGATATTAGTGTGCAGGGCTCCAGATAAGGGCCGTATCGGCATATGTACAGATAAAAAAATATGCACAATACGGTAGCGAATAATTTAGAAAACGTAGCAGGTACGCACCACAGCAATAGTGTACGGTCTTAGAATCATTTACAGACGTATTTATCTGAAGAAAAATATTGGTTTATTGTTTATTGACCTGTTTACACAAGACTATCAATGCTGTGGTGCATATATACTCATGCCAATAATGGTTGTCACCCCCTTCAATTTTTTTTATTGGAGAGGGGGTGTGGGTGTAGGGTGGGGAGGTGGGGTGACAACCATTATTGGCATGAGTATATGAAACGAAACAATAATGTACTCTTAAGGTTTTCCAGTACTCCTGTAGTGAAAAAATATGGAGTACGTACTCCTGATGTTGAAAAATTATCTGGAGCCCTGAGTGTGACATAAGGCCAGTCAGTGATAGTTATGTGTATAAATGTTGTCTATTGTATAAACTTTGTTTCAGTTTCCTTGTGCAGTGTCGTCCACTGTCAGTGAGCATGGGGAATGCAATCAAGTATCTCAAATGGAACATCAGTCACATGCCCAGGGAGTTGTCGGATGCTGAGGTACGACACATGATCTGCCTCCACAAACACAGGACATGTGTCAGGTGTCAGTTGTTAGGAAGTTACACAATAGTTGCCATAACAACTGGATCGCTCAGGAACTTATTTAATGATGCTTTTCGTGTCAAACAAAATTCCTGTACAACGCCTGGCTTACATTTCTGCAGTTGTCTAGATATTTGAAGAAATAATTGACTTTCTCCTGCAGAGCTGCCTTATGTTGAATGAAAAATTTTAGAAAATCAAAAGTTCAGTTCAGTGGTTCCTTATCTGAAGGATCTTTAAAAAAAATTCTTTGTTTACCACCCAGTCCATCTGTAGACTGTTTATAAAGTTAGTTTCATAAATGTTCGAGGTGGAGAGAAAAAAACACTGAACAAGAAGGGTTTAACATGTTAGATAATTTCGCATGATTTGCTGTTGTATCATTAAGGAATGAGATCTATGATATTTTGCATTTCCCAATTAGTTCCCCAACAGCATATGCCATAAGAGGCAACATAGTGGATCCGGTTGTCAGACTCACTGACTTGGTAGATTGCAAGCCACACCTTGACTATGTGGTGCTCATGACATCAACCACTGGTTTGTCTGGTCCAGACTTCATTATTAATTCGAGACCACCATTTCCCTGGTACAGTCAAGCACTGTTAGGTCAAACTTATGGTGTCTCCAAGTAAAATATTGACCCTGCATACTTCTTATTTCATCCTCATTTTGTGGTTATGTTAAATGTCGGATAAGTCAAAGTATTTACGTAGATCCCATCAACTTCGGCACAAAAGTGTCTGACTGTATGTGCTCACTGTGGAATAGAACAAAAACAAAATACAGTCACAATTTGGCTCTTGTTTGAATGTGGTTTCTGTGAACCAGGCGAAACAACGACTGAATGACAACATCGACTCCTTCATCCATGAGAAAGTGTTGATGGCCGGCAAGGCTATCTCTATGTATGCTGGGTCCAAGATCACAGATGGAGATGTGATTGTTGTCTATGCATGGTGAGTGAGGATGACGTTGTCTGCCACATTATCTGCCCACAGACATTTGTAGTGGCCACACAAGCTGTTTCCTGTCTTTGGGCCTCTTACTGTAAAAGTGTCATCTTTGAAACTACTCCACATGTGATTGAAATTTGTCATGCATAATAATGAATCTGAAACTATCTCCCAATCTGACGTCTATGTAAATGAGAGACAGAATGGTTTTAAAGTGTACTACAGGGCCCCTATTCTCGAAAGGATCCTAGCCCTAGGATATCCTAACTTTGATCCTAGGGTCTAGGATAGGTGTCCTACCTTATTCTCGAAAAGTATCCTAGCTCTAGGATATCCTAACTTAGGACAAATACTAGGACTTGTCCTAAGTCTATCTTAGTGGAAGTCAACATGGTGTGGTTCTTGTTTGTTCACCAATTTTGATGTTGTCAAGTAAAATAACTCGCCGAAATTACATTTGCATTTACAACAGCACACAGTTTTGATGTGTTACAAAGAGTTTTTTGAGTTTATATTATCAAGTTATCAGTAATGAATAGACACACTCGTTGCAATGCACATATTCTTTAGATCTACAAAAGAGATTTGTTCAATTCTTACCTATTCTTGGTCTTTTTAATCACAACATTGCTCTTTTGAGTCACATTGCCGTGAAATGTTAATGTCAAGGCCAACTTAATAGGGGAAGTAACTCCTGTTTATTTCCTAGGTGAATTTTTCAGTTTGTGAGATGACGCATAATGAGACTTCAAGTCATGATTTTCATAAAAAACAAATACAATGAAAATATTTTTTGCACATATCTTTCATATCCTTATTGTTTTTTGGCAGACTTTTCAAATGGTGAAGTAAAATTCAAAACTCCTATAACGTGATGAAAATATCGAATAATTTCTTCTAGATCTACTAAGTCCATCAAAAGCTGAATTTCCTTATATTATGTGTTTTTTTGTGGAATGAATCATGGATCATATTTAGGGGAATCCCCAACTTAATGAATGTTTTTCTATCTCACCTACTGAAGATCTAGAGCTCGCTCTCCTAGCTAGGATCGGTAGCTCAAGTTAGGACAAGGATAGGATCATTTCGAGAATGGGTCTTATCCTAACGGTAGGATGTCCTAACTTCTGTCTTAACTACTTTGGATCTGTCTTAGCTGGGACACTTTCGAGAATAGGGGCCCTGGGCACTGAGTAGGATGTTCAAGTGCAGCGTATCAAAGAGACCATCACGCATGCTCGATGCTCCTTGAGATCAACTTTTATAGCCATCACTAACTAGACAGTTAACAATATATTCTCCTCACTATTCACACTTAGATTAATATTAGCCATTTCAATTTGTAAATCAGTTCCCATGTTGCTCTAGTTTATTTGTGTTAATACAAAGTCATCACTTAGCTTCATGTAATAAATAGTATCTCAAAACATTTTTCTAGAAGGTCCTATATGTGTCACCAGGAACTGAATTTGAGCCATCTCAGTTCCCATGTTGCTCTAGTTTATTTGTGTTAATACAAAGTTAGCACTGAACTTCCTGTAATAAATAGTATCTCAAAACATTTTTCTAGAAGGTCCTATATGTGTCACCAGGAACTGAATTTGAGCCATCTCAGTTCCCATGTTGCTCTAGTTTATTTGTGTTAATACAAAGTTAGCACTGAACTTCCTGTAATAAATAGTATCTCAAAACATTTTTCTAGAAGGTCCTATATGTGTCACCAGGAACTGAATTTGAGCCATTTCAGTTCCCATGTTGCTCTAGTTTATTTGTGTTAATACAAAGTCATCACTGAACTTCCTGTAATAAATAGTATCTCAAAACATTTTTCTAGAAGGTCCTATATGTGTCACCAGGAACTGAATTTGAGCCATCAATGACCTTGCCATTGGAAGTAACGACATGCCAATTTTATCCCAGTATAAATGACAGTGAAACTGGATATTGGGCCATGATAGCTATCCCTCGTCTGAGCCCAGTGCAGATATAAAACCATAGTTATATAAGTGAAAGTTACGTTTTTTTAAATATTATATAAAATTCAAATTCAAGGTTTCATTACAGCATGAATATCTGTAGTGGTTCATAGTAGATTTTTCATCTTGAACATTATACATATATTCTCATGGTCTACTAGGTGCAGGTCAGTTTCCAGTGTGTATCAGGATACTGCTGGAATATTGATTAAAATCTGAATAAAACTCACTCACCCATTCTTATTGAGCTTCTTTCAGTATTGATAAACATGTATTGTTATATCATTGTATTGTTATATCATTGTATTGTTATATCACTATTGTTATATCTCTGTTTTGTCATTACTGACCATTTCACTTAATCTTTCATGAATATATCCACTATATATTCATACATTTCAGTTCGAGTTTAATCAGACGGGTACTTTGTGATGCACATCAGCAAGGGAGAAAGTTCAGGGTCATTGTAATTGATGGAAGGCCCAAAATGGAAGGTGGGTTGTCAATGCCTATGAGTGTTACTTAGTGTTTGATATTTACTGTGGTCAGATCTTTATTATGCCCAGATGTTGAACAAGTGATTATCTGAATACAAACTGCCATTTAGGAAGTGGTCAAATGTAACATATGTTATGTTTGAGATGGCACTTTCGAATCCCAGATGGGGCTCAACCCAACAAAAGTACTAGAATCTGTATTTTACTGAGAAAGTGTACCGGTAATCCCAAATATAACATGTGTTACAAGTGATTATCTGTTATTAATGGAAGGCAAGTTTGGAATCTCACTGTCATCTGTCAGAAGCTAGATAAAACTCCTCACATCAGTTGGATGGCACATAGCACAAATGGCCTCTCTGTGTTGTTCAGAGTTATGTCCCTTAGATGTACCAAAGAGTGTGATCATAGTTTGACTCCCTGCTTCAGTCTGATTTTGTTTTCCTTGTTCGTCAGCACTATGCACAAGCTTGTGTGTTTCTCCAAATGGACAATGTCTAGGAACTGCATCACTTTGGGATTTCCTGTAATCCCTGTCATACATGATGAAAATAATATAACTGAAATACTGCTAACAGACTAAGCCAGATTTTCTCTCTGTTTATAATTTCATATATTTTGAACATGTACTACAACCATGGTTCTTTTAAGCATATTTTTTTAGAACAAGATGGCAACCCTACATCATGATGAAACTCACACTTCAAAATCAATATTTTTAATATTGATTTTGTTTTCTTTATACCTTCTTTATTGAGATAAGATGCCCATCAGCAGAATTTCTGTCACACATTGCAATATGTTCACAAGTGTTTTATTTCATCAGGGAAAGAGATGTTGAGAAGACTGGTAAAAGCCGGCATCCAGTGTTCCTATGTGTTAATCAACTCAGCCTCATACGTCATGCAAGAGGTAAATGTGGAGATTGTATGGCACACTGTCTTTCTTCAAACCTAGCTATGTAACAAAGTATGTCCCTGTGTGGATCAAAGTAGTCCAGATTGGTCCATATTACTTGTCTAGGTGTGCCATGATAAGTTATATTCCAGTTGCTTGCCAATGTTTAGCTAGTACATGGATGCCAATATTTCTGTGCTGAATTTTAGTTTTCTTCAATTTTACTTGCAAGAAATGTTATAGTGAGTGATTGAGTATGATTTATAAGCCTTTTAGCAATATTCCAACAATATCACAGCAGGTAACACCAGAAATGGGCTTTATATATTGTACCCATGTGGGAACTCAACCTGGGTATGGGCAAACGCTTTTACCACTGTCACAAGAAATAATATATTTATAGACACACATGGTCATGTTTTCTATGTGGAAATCCCTGTCTGATGTTTTGGAAGCAAAGACAAATTAAACTATATTCTGTAACCCACGAGGGTTGGGGTTAGCACACCTGTATATCTAGTTCATGGCAAGTACCAAATTAATAATCAAATCTCAGACAATACCATTCTTGTCCAGTTAGTCTGTGGCTTGTATAATATCAAAATAAGTCCCAAAATAAGTCCCATATCAACAAGGCCCTCATGACTGATTATCTGTTATCTTTACTTCCAGGCAACCAAGGTCTTTCTAGGCTCCCACGCACTGCTTGCTAATGGTTTTGTGATGTCCCGTGTAGGGAGCTCCTTGGTGGCCTTGATGGCTCGCTCATGTAACGTCCCAGTCCTTGTCTGCTGTGAAACGTACAAGTTCTGTGAACGGGTTCAAACAGACTCATTTGTATTCAATGAACTGGGTAAGTCTCTCTTTCATTTATCCTTCCATTTTGGCATTCTGCAGATAATATTTTTTATAGAATGGTTTACTTAAGTGCAATAGGTACATTTGTTAATGAACAGTGAGGGTGGCATTTTGAAAAAGTGGATTTTCAATTCCAACAACAAAACACACCTTTTGTGTTCTTAATCACCGGACACACGTTAAGACTTTGCATAACTTGTGTACTGGTGTCGCCTTTCTGTAAACTCTTTACAGATTCCAGGTTACTGTTATTGTGTTTTCAATTTGAAATGGATATACACAGCAATTGGTTGGTCTTTGGGTTAGTTTGCTTTTCTCTGATATCAGAAAGCTCATAAAACGTTTAAAAACAGGTCTGAAATGCATTACTTGAACTTCAACACAGAGTTATGGAAACTGACCCCTTGCAAAACTTGACAGTTGAGTGGGAGACAACTCTTCGTGTTTTAGGTGATCTACCGAGTTATCTGTTGTCATGACGGTTAATGGGAGAGAACTCTGCATGTTTCAGGTGACCCCAGTGACCTGGTACAGGTTGGCAGTAAAGAGCCATACTTGTCAGACTGGAAGGAGCACAGCCATCTGACACTGCTGAACTTAGTGTACGATGTCACCCCACCTGAACTCATCTCTGCTGTCATCACCGAGCTGGGAATGATACCCTGCACGTCGGTGCCGGTCGTACTGCGAGTCACACAGGCACAGACTAACGAGACATAGCTGGGACATACTGATTCCATTCAGTTATAAACCACCTTCAGAGTTGGTTCCAGGCAGTTCTAGTGTTGCTGCCACCATCATCCTTGATTGTCCAATATGTTATATTCCTTTCTATTGAGATAAACGATTGAAGCTGCACACCAGCATAGCTGTCTTTAAGATAAGGTTTTTGTAACTCCAAAAGAAATTCCATTCTAATTAAGTACACTTTTCGTTCTTTACTGACAAAATTCTGCAAAATCATGAACACTTGTTGTGTTCAATCTCATTGACAATTGGAAGGGTGTTGTAAAATTAGCACCACCCATCTTGAAAACATCAGGTTATTACATCACAACAGAATGGGGAAATAATAGACTTGATAATCGAGAATGCAATCAGCTAACTTTTCTATCTTCCTTTGCCCTGCCATGTAGATAGGTACATAGAAAACCTTGTCAGTCTGGAACCTGTTTATTAGTAAATGAGTACAGGATTATTTCTTTGAATGTCAACATGTCTCCCTGTACTATCACTGCAATCAGTCACAACTCCATGTTTTGCTAGGCAGTCTACAACAATGTATGGAGCTCACATAGCAAACATGTGAATCAGGGATGACTGTTGCGAGCATGAATACCCTTGCTGAAGCTAAATTGGGTTTTTTTCATCAATTTGAATTTGGATTTCATTTCAACAATCATGTAGTGGTTGTATTTTGAGAATGCATAAGGAGGCTGTGTGTTTTCACAAACATCTTCAATCTCGAAGCAATATGACTAACCAACAAAACATAAATTCTGGGAAATATTATATATATATATATGTTTTCTCAGTTTGCTATAAACACACAAACAACAGCATTCACCAAAATATTAATGTCACTTCATATGTAACTTAGTATTGTAAGGGACGATTTTGAAGATTTTGGCAGTAGAATCTAGCAGCTTGTACACTGGTGGCAACGATGGTATGAGGTCAGCGAAGGTGTTGCATGCTGGGAAGGTGTTTGAGACATACGGCTGTACATGAGGTCACCACATCATGTATGATCAACTTTGACATGGGAGTTTAAGGAACTTGTCAGTGTTAAGGTATACCCAATGGTCAATTGGAAGTTGCTGTGTACATTTAACTCTAAGCAAAGCCTTTCATTTTATATTACGTTGTTGGTTTACCAAAAACATTAGTCCTAAAATTCAATGTAAGTGGTCAATATATAACTTTGTATTGCTTCTAGTGAATGAAAACAAACATGTCATAACATGACACCAAAAGCTGATGTTTTTCTTTTGATTAGCATTAAGATTTTCATACATATGGACAATTTCTTCAGAAAGAAGTGATTACATTTCTTATTTTTCCTCTCATCTTATTAGAAAACATCTGCAAAACTTTCTTGGTCAAAAGCTATTTTACTTTACTTCTAATTTCAGAGTTTGTTCTATAATTGTTTTTTAATCAGTCAGTCTCTTATACCAATCGAAAGAAAAATAAAGCTTCAGGTAGAGATATATTTTAAAAGGAATCAAACACATCTGTATCTCTTTCTGATTTTAATTTTGCTTACTCATATCTAATTTCATGATCCTTGATCAGTAATATTTTGGAACCAGATTGATGGAGTCATGTAATGTACATTGTCTACAGCATTATTGTGTGATGGGTATTATATTTAGAGGGGCTTCATGGCCAGGTGTGTATCAAATGATGTGTCATTGATGAGATGTTAGTTGCAGGGGTGTGAATGTACACTGAAGACACAGCAGGTTGGAATGTAATGTGACTGGATTATGTGTGTCCAGATCACAATAAACCTTTTCTCTTTAACAAATATATATCTTGTCATTTTAATTTGCATTCTGAATTATTCTATAGGAGCTTTACACACATAATGGCTGGACCTACTGACTTCAGTTCCTGGATTATGGAAACTAATACTTGTCCTTTGCTTAGCCGCCGCCAATGTGGTGTAGTGGTTAGAACGTCCGCCCAGGAGGGAGGAAGGTCCGGGTTTTGATCCCTGGCCACATCATACCGAAAGACGTTAAAATATGGTACTTGTTGGTCCCTGCCTGGTGCTCGGCATTAATGGGTACAACAAGGACTGGTCAGCTCGATGTGAAAATGTGTCTGAGTGGGGTATATATGCTTAACTGTGGCATGGTATCTCAGTGAGCTAGCACAATAAAACCAGCAGCTATATATACACACGCATCCACGTCGTCATATGAGCAAAATGTTCTTGATGTTCGAAATGTAAAATTCCATTTCATTTCACCTCACCTTAGCCCTTTTGTTGTTAAGGGGCCTCAGTCCATTTGCTAACAAAGGGCAGATAACCCAATGTTTTTAGATGCTCATGCTGTTGATCACTGGATTGTCAAGACTCTATTTACAGACCGCCCCAATATAGATGGAATATTGCTGGTTGCGGTATTAATAATAATCAAACCAAACCATGCTTGTCGTAAAAGGCAACTGGCAGGATCAACAGATCAGGCTTGCCTACTTGGTTAATGCATGTCATTGTCCCAGTTGTGTAGATCAAGTATGTTTATCAGCTGGGTGTCCAATCCAGACATGATAATTTACGGTCCACCATCATATAGCTGGAATATTGCTAAGAGCAGCATTTAACCATGAACACAAACGTCCGTATTGCCTGTCAATCAGAATCGTAACGTGATTGGGTGGTCACACTCGCTGACTTGGTTGACACGTCATCGTACCCCAGTTGCATAGATAGATGCTCATGCTGTTGAACAATGAATTGTCTGGTCGACAATTATTTACAGACTGCCGCTACATAGCTGGAATATTGGTGAGTACTGCATAAAACAAAACTCACTCAATAAAGCAGCATCTGATGATGATGATGATGATGACTGGCTGCTCATCCAGGTATAATACCTTTCAAATCCAAGTAAAGCCATAAAGCAGAACACTGTGTAAACCTCCACATGTTTAATCCTGACTATGAATCTAGTTCTGGTGTAATTTGATGTACCGGTACCCTGTACAATATGGACCAAGATCACCACTTGTCTTTGGACAGATACAACCACTGTCTTGTAGACATCTCCCATGATTAACTCACTACACAAAATTGTGGTTATTTTGTATTTCCAATCATCATGATCGCTGAGACATTTCCAAATCATAAATACAAGAGGTATTTCATGTTGAAATCACTAACATAAATTGTAAGAGATGTAGATCTAATATAGCTGCTTAAAAACACATATTCCATTCAGTAAAATCCAACTTGTAGCTGTTATTAAACAATGAGGATAATAATGCCTTTAGAATCAAAGATCATCTGATGAAAGCAACCAGATGATTATTGACACAACCAATTTCTACATCTACAAGATATTTTTCTTACAAACTAAGTATGTGAACCTTTATCACACATGCACATAAATGATGACATGTATCATACTAGTAACTACACCAATTTGCCTAGGACCACAGCCATAGACTCTTGGTCCTGAGCAATGTTGAGTAGTGTACATAAGGCATGAGGGCAAGGTGAAGAGACAGGCTGACTTCTGCTACAGTGTCTTGTGACTAAGTTGTGTGACTGAGATGACTTCGGGCTCTCTATAGAAAGGACTCTGAACAGGCTCGAAATGATGATATCCGAGTAGAGATTGGCTGTACAGCATAACATCATCATACATGTTCTGTACTCAAGTCATTATGACCACGAATGAACAGCTTACTGGAACAATCGAGTGAGTATGGTTTAATGCCGCTTTTAGCAATATTCCAGCAATATCACGGCAGGTAACCCCAGAAATGGGCTTCACACATTGTTCCCATGTGGGGAATCGAACCGGGGTCTTCGAGTGACAAGCCAACGCTTTAACCACTAGGCTACCCCACTGGACAAATCAAGCATGCATCTTAAATACCTCATATGCATGCATACCCTATATTATTCTGTATGCATGAATGTCTATTACTTCATATGCATCCATGTGAAGAATTATGTACATGAATGAGCAATATTCTATCAGCAGCATTCTTGCATACAAATGTCCGGATTAATCAGAGTCCTGTTTAGACAGGTTCCAGTTTACACCTACAATATTTATTAAGAGCTGGTATAATGTGCGTAATGCCTAAAACATAACATTCTTAAATTGCACTTTAATCATAATTAATAAACAGGTATTATAACATGGTAAAGATCAACATAGAATCATAAATGCATTCATGTTGGCTTGAACAAACATACAACTGAATAAAAATGTGTTTTCTAGTATTTGATGGACAATTACACAATCATCTTGTTTAGCACTATCTTCCCAACAGAGCACAGCTCTCTGTCATCTGGTTTAAATATATAATAATGCATGAAATTTGAAGGGATGCTAATTTATACAAATCCAATGTTATTACTACATAACAATGTGAATGTGTAATTCCACAGAGTAGGTATTCATGGTTTGCTAATACCTTTAATTGTACAATCCTGGGATATTAATTCCTTGGTAAACTCTTTAATTTCAGCCATGTTCTCTGGGACCCAATCACCCATAATGACATGTATATATATCCTACCAGGGGCCCTCTTCACAAACCGATCATAGCGCTACGACTGTCGTAAAAATCCATGTTTAAGTATGGGAATTACGATCACCTTAGCGCTATGATGACTTTGTTAAATGGGGCCCAGATAAGTTGATTTACCAGTGTACAAATGCCTTTACATGACTGTAAATGAGCTTTCACACAGCTCTCATTTTTTAAACTTTAATTGATATGAGTAAATTAATCTCAAATATACCTTGAATTTGCAAAAGTAGAAATCTGTCAGTAACAGGAAATGAATTAGTCTGGCACTGGATATAACAGTCAATGAAAAAAAATTTAAAACATGTTTATCCGAAATGTATGAATACCGATAGGCAATCCCCTATCCAACTCAGCAGCACATAGTGCATCAGTGTCTTCAAATAGTACAAACGAAAATCTTCACAGACATGCATTATCACTTTGTACCAGTATGACAGTATGTGACACTTCACAAAGGTACCTAAGTATGTAAAGATAAGGTGAAAGTCCAAAGGTTACAAAGGCTAGATACACACAATGTGGGATATACTCTTAGTTATATTTGGACATATGGACACCTACTAATATGAATGTAAGGTGAAAGTTTCAAGGTTACAGATACCAGATAGCTATATAGTTCAAGATAACTTCCATTATTCTGACCCCCAATCAATGATTTTCCAAAGAACTACACACAAATCGCAAACCATGCACACAGAAATCCCTTGCTTACAACTAAATGCAGGTGTTCTCTATGTACATGCTTCAATAAACCTTCATTTACATCATTAAAAGATGTTTAGGAAAATATAATCAAAGAAAATATATCTCACTGTAGCAGAAGAAAAAATTGAATAGTTTCTAAATGTTGGACAAAGACTATAAAAACAAGACTTTGTCTTTAGACCTTGCTGCTGAGAAGGTTGCCGTTATCAAAGCAAAGACTATATGAGCCGGCTGAGCAGCATTGACAGCAGTGTGGATGCCTCTTTGTCTGTAGAAGTCTACCAGTGGTTTAGTCTGCCTGTGATAAGCTTCCAGTCTCTTGCATAATGCCTCTTCATTGTCATCAGATCTGTGAATCAGGGGTTCTCCAGTTATCTGGAACAAAAATCAGTGTTTCGTGTGGTAGGCTGCAAAAATATTTATAGTTGTTTATCTTTGACTTTCTAAGGTACAGTACTTCCATTATCATGATTATATATTCTAGGACTTCAGTCCTCCTCACAACGAAACACATGTGATACATGTGGTTTCAGCTTAGGCAAGTGAGCTTGTTCAAAATTGCCTCTGTTCACCCAGCAGAAAATCCTGTGACTGATAACCATCTAGCGCCTCATAGGCAGCTTGGGTTATCTGAGATAATAATGATCAGATTGTGATTTCAGTGCCGTTGAGCACCGTATGATGGAAACCAGGGCCTAGATTTTCGAAGCTCTCTTAGCGCTAAGATAGTTGTAAGGTAATGTTAATGTATGTCACTTATGACTATCTTAGCGCTAAGAGAGCTTCGAAAATCTAGGCCAGGCCCAGGAGCTATTCAAATCCATTATAATCATTATCATGTACACCTAATCCATTGGCAGTCATTGCTTCAGACAGAGGATGACTATTGTAAGTGAGAAATGCAGTGAAATGATGCTAGTGACATTACTTGCCACACACAACTGAGGCAGCAAACAGGTCCATGGTCCTGAGTGGTAATCATCAGACATATCGTTAACAGTTAATATTTTGAACTTAACATACATGTTGGTAATGTACATCGGGACCATTCATAACAGTTTAACAAACTGCCACAGATTTGAATTTCCAGAGACTGAGACAGTCTCACTTATCGTCTCAGTCCTCTTGGTGCCACAAAATCAGAATTAGGCAACTCACATCATCCGTCATGGGGACTTTAGGGGGGTGAAACTCTACATGGTAGCTTCGCCCGCTGGACTTGTGGATGAGTCGTCCAGTAATTCTTCTAACAAGCAGGGAGTCATCAATGCAGAATTCGATAACAGAATCCAGCTTTGTCTTGCGTTTCAGCAGCAGGTCATCCAACTTGAAAAATGCATTACAGTGTTTGAAATAAAACATAAAGGTCAGTGAGTTCCCATCAAAATCCTTGTATCAATAATGAAATGATTATCTAGTTTCTAGTAAGATGTTAGTTTGTTGTTTAATGCCACACTCAATATTCCAACTTTATGGTGGCAGTCTGTAAGTAAGAACCAGGACCAGACAATCCAGTGATCAACATCATGAGCATCAATATTTGCAATTGGGATACGATGACATGTGTCAAGGAAGTCAGCAAGAATGACCACCTTAGTCTCTTATGACAAGATTGGGTTGTTGAAGATCAATGCTAACCCAGATCTTGGCGGGTTAGTTTCAAGTATGAAAGGAGACGATCTCTAAGACATGTTACATCTTAAACACTGCATGCATGATTACCACAACAAAAGCAATAACGATTTTGTACTGTGATGATATCTTTTGCACAAATCATTAGAAGGCAGGGTGGTTGGATAGCCTAGTGGTTAAAGCGCTTGTTCGTCACACTGAAGACCCGGGTTCGATTTCCCAGATGGGTACAATGCTTGAAGCCAATTTCTGGTGTCACCCGCTGTGATATTGCTGGAATATTGATAAAAGCGGTGTAAAACCATACTCACTCACTCACTCAACTGAAACTCACAGCTTTGGCCTGTCCAACTGTCCTTGGAAAGCCATCAAGAAGGAATCCATTTTGACATTCTGGCTTATTCAGGTTATTGTCAATTAGTTCCACCACCAGGTCATCACTGACCAGCTGACCAGCATCGATTACGCCCTTCACACGCTGACCCAGTTTACTACCAGAGCTTATGACTGCTCTTAACATGTCTCCCGTAGACAGATGGCAGGCACAATACTTCTCAGCAAGCATAGGGGCCTGTAACATAAAACAATCTTGTTACATGACTGGTGATGTTCTGATCACAAGTATTATCACCAGTGATTACCTACAAGCAATACATAATTATTAATGTCTGAAACCCTCAGGATTTGTACTGTGTGCTGATGTTCAACAGCCTGACTCTGAGAGTGTGGCGTTGAAATCCTGACTGGGACCAAGAAAATGTAACCCCAAATATAGAATATGGAAGTTCAAGGCTGCCAGTAGACCATGCTGATTCAGCATAACTTCTCACTGAAAATGTTTTTGTACAAGTTTATTTTTGTTTAATGATATGGACTTTAATGACATTATTAAATGACACTGTCACATGGCTCTAGAGAAGGGCCACATCGGCGTATGTACGGATAGAAAATAAGCACGGTGCAGTAGGAAATAATTTAGAAAACGTAGCAGATTCGCACCACAGCAATGGTGTATGGTCTAGGAATCATTTACAGGCGTATTTATCTGAAAAAAGTATTGTTTTATGGACCTGTTTACACAAGAGTAGCAATGTTGTGGTGCATATATGAAACGAAACACAAGATTACCGATACTCCATTAAATTCCAGTCTCTAAATGTACCCTTATTGTTTTCCAGTACTACTACATTGTAAAAATAAGGAGTACATACTCCTGATCATGAAAAATTATCTGGAGCCCTGCTGTCAGTTTTATCTTTTAGTCTAAAGCTATTACAAATACAATATAAAAATCCACAGGGTTTCAGATGCCATAAAAATATGTCATATTTGCGTGACCTCATGCAGGACTTTCTGAATTGTCATGAAGGAACAGCAATCATGTTAACGATCACAAACATGGTAAAGTGTACACTATTTAGAAATATACAGCTGTCATATATAGATGGAATATTGCAGTGTCTACTATTGTTCTCTCGGTCTGCATGCATGACTGCTTTACCTATTATACACAGGAGGTGGGGACAAAATGAGGATAGCACGTTGACTGTGAAGATATGCTTGGTTAGTGAAGCATGACTCAATTAACAAGTCACCACACTCAGTAACCACATGGTAACAGGTGTGGACTGTGTCCCCTCTAAACTGTACTCTTGTCCTCTAAACTGACCTCTTGTCAATATAAATGACACGACTACAAACATCAAACAGAATATATCATTAAGAGAAGATGTCGAATTGGACAAAAATACCGATTTGGGGAAAACCCCCTTAACTCAATGAAGTGTAATATGACTGTTCAAACATGCTCTCTAATTAGTAATTTCTATTCTAGAGTCATCCTCGATATTCTCCAGGGTATACGTTACGATCACTCTCTACTATACCCTGGATGCATCCACGGCTTATATTACCTCCCTTGGCCGGCTTTTTTATCCAAACAGATGTCTACGCTGGGAAGTTGAGCGAACCAATCACAACTCACTTTCGCTTCTTAAATTATCTAACCGTTTAAACTTGCAACACAAGTGATGCAGAGGTACTCTGAAAAAGGTAGGAAGAGTTCTTTCATATATTTTTTAGAGTTTCAGATCTGTCAATTTGTCTGTATTATTTCCCCAAAAATCTGAGTGGCACTGCGAACAAACCTTCACGACTGCAACCGCTATCTTTGTTGACACTGGCAAGCTCGGATGTAATGGCGGCTAAGCTGATTGGCTACTGTGAGAATGCGGAGCCAGCGAAGGGAGGTAGGCTAGAAGCACTTTACCGGGGTGCAGCCCTCGCTGCTCCCTTTAAGATCCTTAGGGTTAGGGTATGCCACCCTTTACGATCCTTAGGGTTAGGGTTTAGGGTTAGGCACCCTTTATGATCCTTAGGGTTAGGCACCCTTTACGCTCCTTAGGGTTAGGGAACCCCAGCAGCGCTAATTAATCTGAAAAAGTGCGCCCGGTAAAGTGCAGTACTCCTGGGGGGGGGTGTGTGTGTGTGTGTGTGTGTGTGTGTGTGTGTGTGTGTAATATAATTATGGGGCCAAGCCGTGGATGCATCCAGGTTATAGTGGAGAGTGATCGTTACGTATACCCTGGAGATTATCGAGGATGTTCTAGGGTAGACACTGAACATTTATTTCCTTTTGAACCTTAGATTTTAAGTGTCATTTCGGAATCGAAAACCATTATGTCTAATTGCCTCGATGCATCTACAGAATCATCTGATTCCATGACACAACTTTAATATCATATACTTTATAACCTTAACATTGAAACTGAGACTGATGCGATCTCACTCAGACATTTGAAATGTTTATTATATAACCTGTGTTCCTTTTCCAGAACCTGGGGGTCCAAGCAGAATGGCATTTATTCCTTGTGGCTTTCCTTGAGAAGGGGCGGGTGATGGGACAGCTGGCATCTTAACGGATAAATGGAGAAGCGAAGATGAGGATCAAGCTCTCGTGGCAACAAGCACCTGTTCGTTCAAGGTCGTGAACCGGAAACACTGCTGGTTGGACATGCGTAAAATGGAATGTAACTTCCTTTTTACGACATTGAGTATAAACAAAAACAGCTATATATTATGTTTCATCACATTCATTAAAACCTTAGTCATGTCTAGATATGATTTGTATTGTCATATCTATTTACCGATAGAAATCTGTATTTATTTACAATCTAAGGTCACGTGATCGACAATTACAAAATGGCTGAAGGGGAGTGATCGCTTCCTCTCACCGAACGCACACAAATTTATTTGTTGATGTTGTGCTTTCACTTTAACTAGGGAAATACTTTGAACCGAAAAGATGCATTTTTCAATACCGGACACGCAAGAATGCAAGGATGACAGTGGATCTTCCTTTACAGTTAGTTTTGTATTGTGGCTTATCGCATATTGCCTTGGGCACAAGTTTTTACGAGTTGACAGCATACCAATAATGACATTTGACAGGAAAGGTTTTCAGGTGTTTGCGCATCTGCTTTCTGCCGAATGACACGCCGAAGTTAAAATTATTTGTTTCCACATATAATCCTAACAAATTCTTCAGTTCTGAGGTAACGTTTGATGCAGTCGATGCAAGTAAAACCTTTGATGAAGGCTGACTTGTTTGTAAAATGCATCATGTATTTTTTTTTATCTACTGTGAATTATCGGTAAGCACAATTAAAGGTAACACTATGGGTCTATTGAACAGTTTACTTGCTGTATTATTGTCATGCTTGTCATCCTGATTCCATCTGGTAGATTCAATGGTAAGAGTTCTGCCCGTGACCCCCGCTTGAAAACTTAGGGTTAGGGTAAGGTCCTGACTTCTGAGTCTTTTTAGAAATCTTTTTTTCCCCAGACGTCTAAGCCAGCTTTAAAAACAAAACCAGCAACTTTTTATAAAAAAAACCCCCATAAATTATTAGGCATAGAATGATAAAACAAAACCAGGCGTTACGGGCAGAAATCTTTCCGATTTAATAACCTCAGTTTTAATATGGGATCTATTTACAACTACACCACATGTGCATTGTCACAACATTTATTACATAATTACAGAACCCGTGAAGGTCCGGGTTAGAATGTACCTTCAGCAACCCATGCTTGTCATAAGAGGCGACTAACGGGATCGGGTGGTCAGGCTCACTGGCTTGGTTGACACATGTCATCGGTTCCCACTTGCGTAGATCGATGCTCATGCTGTTGATCACTGGACTGTCTGGTCCAGACTCGATTATTTTCAGACCACCGCCATATAGCTGGAATATTGCTCTGAGTGCGGCGTAAAACTAAACTCACTCACTCACTCACATAAGTACAGAAAGTTAACACTGTTTATTCTTTCCCCATTGCATTTATTGAAATACTTTTCCATCCACAGTCCTACAACATGTATATTAATGGTGTGTTCCACTGTTCTGTAAGATTCCGACAACTACATCAGTTTCACGAACAGGTATGTACTTGCTATTTCAACTGGAAAATTATACACATACAGTGCTGTGGCAAATGACTCACCACATGTTTTAAGGTCTGCTGATCTGCTTTTTCTTCCATGGGAATTCATGGCAGAATAGATTCCCAGTATTCCCCTCATTCAGACTAGTATTGGTGGCTGATTACATGTCATTGTGCAATGATCTTTCTCATAGTGTTGCGTTCAACCACTCATTTATCTGGATTAGGTTATCATGGTTATATTATACACAAGATGCTGTGATAAAACTCAGGGCTACAGATAAGGGGCATACAGGCGTAATGTACGCCTCAAAATCAATTAAGTACGACATAATATAAGATTTCAAGCATATCGTGTACGCACATAAATACCTTTGTACGTCTAACATTTAATTTCCATGCGTATCGTGCAAATGGAAATCTATTTCGGATAAATACTTGTTATCAAGAGTTTCTTTTGCGAAACACGATTTTACACATGAGGAAACCCCGACAGTAGGAATCCCTTGCGTTGCCATGCAACGATATGCGTCACTATTTTTCGATTGGCTAAAACCTACACTGTTCCTATTTATATCCAGTCGGACCTGACATTTCGCGCATCACACGGTTGCTCAGTTATTTCTCACGCGTCTTCAAATACAAATACATGGTTGGAAATAGTGATCGATGAATCGTCCAGACAAACCACATCACCAACTCGCTCACACAAAAACATGTCAGTACTCCTTCAAAATTCTCAGTACACCTCCACTTGCAATATGATGTGTAAGTACACTCGCACCCTCAAAAGTTATCTGGAGCCCTGAAACTGGAATATTGCTGATTGCAGTCATAAAGGAATATTGCTGATTACAATGAAAAATTAACTCAAGCTGATCTATTACAGAGTAATGAATGTAATGAAATCATCTGTTTGGAGATTAGGATGTCTTTTTTTCTTTGTATCTGTTGTTTTCTTTTCCAGTTGAAGAAAGAATTTGGTGCTTCATCTCTTCCTCCATTCCCTCCAAAGAAGTTCCTCCCCCTAGGTCCTCCCCAAGTGGAAGAGAGGAGGAACATGCTGGAACACTATGTTCAGTTGGGTAAGTAATTATTGATTGCCAGATCATTGTGTTTGTGGTCATAGTACATGGACAGAATACCTTTCAACAACAACAACAACAACAACAAAAATGTTCTTGATGGGTTCAACTAGGCAGTGCTTCCAGTGCTGGATGTAAAGGGGGCAAGGGTACCTGAAATGATAGTGACCCAGTCTGACCAGCCAGGAACACCCAGCCCCTCTCTGCTGCTGTTGATATTTGTCCATGCTTTTGTGAACAGTATAATACAGACTTGATGATTTTATGTTGCAGTGAGTCAAGATACGGAGATCGCAAATAGTGAACGTTTCAATGGATTCCTTCTCAGTGCACAACAGGTATGTGTTTAATACAGTCAGAGTTAACCATGTGACAGTTTAGTACTCAAGTCTTGCCAAATATTATCAACTTGCATGGGCTTTACTTAAGGTATTTGTTTCTAGGTCGTATGACAGGCTCTGTACACCTACCAAAGATGTCAGTGAACTGGACAATACTTGGGTCAAGATACCACACTCATTGGAATACTTAATGGTTGCTGTTTTTTAAAATAACAATTATCCATGTTCCATTTGGTCTAGCAAATAAGTGACTGCTCTATAAATTGGTTATATGTTATGTTGCATCATTAGTAAATTATGACTTATTCTAATAGTATTCATATGTAGTGTTCGATTCCCCTTGCATCTAGTATGTTGTGAATCAGGACCCCCTTGTATCCATTATGTTGTGAATCAGGACTCCCTTGTATCCATTATGTTGTGAACCAGGACACCCTTGTATCCAATATGTTGTGAATCAGGACCCCCTTGTATCCATTATGTTGTGAACCAGGACACCCTTGTATCCATTATGTTGTGAACCAGGACACCCTTGTATCCATTATGTTGTGAATCAGGACACCCATGTATCCATTATGTTGTGAATCAGGACCCCCTTGTATCCAAAATGCTGTGAATCAGGACCCCCTTGTATCCAATATGTTGTGAACCAGGACACCCTTGTATCCAATATGTTGTGAATCAGGACACCCTTGTATCCAATATGTTGTGAATCAGGACTCCCTTGTATCAATTATGTTGTGAACCAGGACACCCAAGTGACCCTTGTATCCATTATGTTGTGAACCAGGTCACCCTTGTATCCAATATGTTGTGAATCAGGACCCCCTTGCATCCATTATGTTGTGAACCAGGACACCCTTGTATCCAATATGTTGTGAATCAGGACCCCCTTGTATCCAATATGTTGTGAATCAGGACACCCTTGTATCCAATATGTTGTGAATCAGGACCCCCTTGTATCCAATATGTTGTGAATCAGGACACCCTTGTATCCAATATGTTGTGAATCAGGACCCCCTTGCATCCATTATGTTGTGAACCAGGACTCCCTTGCATCCATTATGTTGTGAATCAGGACACCCTTGTATCCAATATGCTGTGAATCAGGACACCCATGTATCCATTATGTTGTGAATCAGGACCCCCTTGTATCCAAAATGCTGTGAATCAGGACCCCCTTGTATCCAATATGTTGTGAACCAGGACACCCTTGTATCCAATATGTTGTGAATCAGGACACCCTATTATCCAATATGTTGTGAATCAGGACTCCCTTGTATCAATTATGTTGTGAACCAGGACACCCAAGTGACCCTTGTATCCAATATGTTGTGAATCAGGACCCCCTTGCATCCATTATGTTGTGAACCAGGACACCCTTGTATCCAATATGTTGTGAATCAGGACCCCCTTGTATCCAATATGTTGTGAATCAGGACACCCTTGTATCCAATATGTTGTGAATCAGGACCCCCTTGTATCCAATATGTTGTGAATCAGGACACCCTTGTATCCAATATGTTGTGAACCAGGACACACTTGTATCCATTTTGTTGTGAATCAGGACACCCTTGTATCCAATATGTTGTGAATCAGGACTCCCTTGTATCCAATATGTTGTGAACCAGGACACCCTTGTATCCAATATGCTGTGAATCAGGACACCCTTGTATCCAATATGTTGTGAACCAGGACACCCTTGTATCCAATATGTTGTGAACCAGGACACCCTTGTATCCATTATGTTGTGAACCAGGACCCCCTTGTATCCAATATGCTGTGAATCAGGACACCCAAGTGACCCTTGTATCCATTATGTTGTGAACCAGGACACCCTTGTATCCAATATGTTGTGAATCAGGACACCCAAGTGACCCTTGTATCCATTATGTTGTGAATGATGACCCCCTTGTATTCAATATGTTGTGAATCAGGACATCCAAGTGAACCTTGTATCCAGCATGTTGTGAATCAGGACTTCCTTCTATCAAATATGTTTGTTCGATTTTGCAGGAAACACAGAAAGAGGAAGCAGAGAGGGTCACGCTGGATGTGTTCCTGATGAATGGTCACAAGATTGTGGTCAACATCCTCTCAACTGACCAGACTGAGGATGTTCTGGAGGTAGGGCTTTGCTGAAAATTAGGATATGTGCTTGTATACTCATGATAGGCTCCCTATGCTCTATGCACAACCTCAGTCAGTAGATCAGTGTGCTCTCATTTGTCATTCTCGGCTTCCTGAGGAGTATACAACTAAAGCTGCCTCATCATCACTAAGAAGGCTAACTCGTGTCACCAAACAGGGTATTTTTTATATGTTAGGTGAAAAGAGCTATATTTAAAAAAGTCAAATACCAAAGCAGACCCCACAAGTGATACATGAGTTTTAGTGTAAAGGAAAAACAGAAGCCCTGGAAACTCTTAGTAGTCAAGCTGCTGCACGTGGTCAACTGTCTCCTCTTTGGGCATTGCACAATCTCCATAGTCTGCTCAACCATAGGCCTGTGGCTAGTGTTTCCATGGTAGATAGAAATCCTTTAATAGCATTATGTCTTTGGTCTTTGTGTTAGCCTTGAATGTCACTGAAAGATTTGATCTGTAATGTCTATCGTTTGTTACCCAAAACTTTCACACCTCTTTGGAAATTCTCAGACCTACTGTCCACTAACTTGCATGAAAGTGAGTGAGTGAATGAGTATTGTTTTACGCCACTTTTAGCAATATTCCAGCAATATCATGGAGGGGGACACCAGAAATGGGCTTCACACATTGTACCCATGTTGCATGAAAGACCCCAACAAACAGTCGTGAGGGTGACATAACATATTGGGTGATTAGGTAGGAGATAAACCCAACAAACATCTGTGGGTTACATTTTCAGTCTCAAACTTGAATCATTTGAATGTTTGATAACTGAACTATTCAGTTTGCATTTATCTTGTATAAATTTTACTGTTTCTGTTGTCTGAAATGTATTAGTTTTCTAACACGTTTTTCAGATCCTCTAAAGTTTAGGTGAGTCTAAACCACCTGCTATTGTTTCTCTGATGATTCTTAAAATAAAGTTATCTTTTTCAGAAAGTTGCATCACAAATCGAAATACCTGATCAGTATGTGTACTATTTTGGAATATTTCTGGTGAGGAAAGAAGAAGGGGGAGACAACTCAAGTAAGTTTTCTCAAGCCAGTCTTGCAGAATGTTATTCAAAACATTTGGTTTTATCAGCAATAAATTTAATTGTTCGCATATCTTTGATAGTATTGTTTGCATTATGTTGATTCTTAAAGAGTGAATATAGCAAATAAACAAATAGATAAGTATTTGTTATTACTGTATTGTAATTTGTATTTCTAGTGCTATGTGTTATTGGGTGTATTACTGAAGTGTATCACAGTGTTAATCTGCTTTTCAGTGTTTGCTGTGTTTAATAAGAATCTGTTATTCTTTGACTAAGTGATGTTATTCATGTTTGCATATTTTGTACATTTCAGTTGTAAGAAAGTTCCAAGATTTTGAATCACCCTACATTTCCTTAAAGGCAGCTAATAAGGAAGGAGTCCATCGAATTGTTCTAAGAAAAAAGGTGAATATCATATTTGTAGAGCTAAAGAAAGAACCTTGATGTGATTTTTTTAATGAAAACTGTTTCTGTCTTAAGTTATCAAAACATTGATAATGATTGACCTGTGCTTGCAAGCCCATATTTTGGTTAATACATACAAAATGAATTGATCTTGCCTTTGTAGAATGTTTATGAAGCTTTTTGTAGCTGCGAACCTACTGTAGCCTATGGTGACAAACACTTCATTCAGTGTTGTATTGGTGGGTACAGGTAGCCCAGTTAATGAAGGTGACATGATTCACCTTGCATAGATGCATCTCTTGGGCACACTCAAAGAGATCGTAACCTTACAACATGTTGTAACTCAGTAGTTTGTTATAGACGTACAGATTTCATAGCTCTACGAACGCTTTATGGTTCAGGACCCAGGAACTTATTATCCTGGTTTTGAATCTTGGAATGCCCTGTTGTGTTTTTGTTTTCTCTTCCCCGACCACGTCATACTTGGTCATGGTACTTGTTGGTCCCTGCCTGGCGCTCGGCATTAATGGGTACAACAAGGACTGGTCGGCTCGGATTCAGAAATGTCTGAGTGGCGTATTCATGCTTCATTGCGGCATGGTATCTCAGTGGGCTAGCACTATCAAACCAGCTTAAGTCTGGGCTAGTACAAGCAGCCGCACATACACATACACACGCATGCATGTCGTCATATGAGCGAAATATTGTCAAGCACGACGTAAATCCTAATTTCACCTCACCTCACCTCTTGTTTTCTCACCACCATATCCATGCTCATTTGTTTCACAAACATGAATGTCTGAGATCTGCCTCACTTCCGGCTTACTTCTCACATTAAGCTGACACACTGTCATGAAACTGGAATTATGCTCAAAGCATCAATGATCCCAACTGTGCTTGTTGATGTTGCAGTTTCTGGGACTCTTCCTTTGACGATGACCTCCTGGATGACAAGATCACCATGAACCTTTTGTACGTCCAGGTGAGTAGCAAGTCTTGTCTGTTCAACTATTATTGATAGCAACCGCTTTAATAGGCAAACCGTCAACTTTTGTCTAGCCACAGTAAACATTACTTTATAGGGCTTTGCAGGGCTCCATCAGGGCTGTATCAGCGTATGTACGGATAGAAAAGATACATGATACGGTAGGAAATAATTTAGAAAACGTAGCAAATACGCACCACAGCAATGGTGTACGGTCTTAGAATCATTTACAGACTTATTTATGTGAAAAATTATTGTTTTATTATTTATTGACCTGTTTACACAAAAGTAGCAATGTTGTGGTGCATATATGAAACGAAACACGTAATTCCATTCCATTCAGTACTCTAAATGTACTCTTTCCAGTACTCCTGTATTGTAAAAAATGAGTATGTACTCCTGATGTTGAAAAATTATCTGGAGCCCTGGCTTTGTATTGGGAAATAAACTGTAATTTATCCGTATTGCGATATGTATTGCGATATATTGGGAGCTGAAGTGTTTGACAGTGAGTGACACTGATTGTACTTGTGGATCCTATTTTCAACATACCTTGGCCCTAAAAATAACATTCAGGTTCTGATAACAGGAATCTCCTTATGACAATGGCAGTCTGCTTTGCAAAAAATATATATAAAAAACCTTTAAATTTCGTCTAAAGTCTGTGCCAAAAATATCTTGACTACTGGACTGAACATGGGCTTGGCATAAGTTTCAGTAGTGTTGTTATATTTACTGTTGCCAACTGACCTTACTTGACCAGACAGTATTTTACTGGACTCAGGCATCAGGCTATTAGCTTAAGTCTGAGACTGGTATACTTCAGTGTGGTATACTTCAAAGAGGTGACTTTAGAGAATCGGATGGTCAGGTTTAGTGACTTGGCAAGTTGGCATGGATTGTTCCTCATGCATTTAATAACTTCCTTGCCTCTTCCAGAGTTAAATATTCATATTATTTAAACTGAGGTCGTTTACAGGCCAGGGTGATATAGCTGGACTGTGCTGACTGCAACATTCACAAACACAAACACGTTAGGTAGATTTGTGAGTCTATGCTGTCCCTACATCAAGTCCACTGACTGTTTGTTGCAGACTGTGAGTGACATTGAACGCCAGTGGATTCTTGCCACCAAAGACCAGCTGAAGCATCTTGCCACGCTCAACCAGAAAGGGTCCAAGAAGGAGGTAGGATGTTTTCAAATGTTTCACGTATTTCTGTATTTCACAGTGTTCTCACTCAATAAAACTTGTGCAATTGTCAAAGGTAAGACAGCATGCTTCTGGTGTGAGGATACACAATCCTTGCTGTGATATGTAAGTCATGGGTCTTGCTTTAATGTGCATGTATTGTATACATGTAATGTATGAACTGAATGTCAATTTCATTGCAAGGTTTTAATAGGACTATACAGAGACCTTAGTCCAACTTACCGGTAAATATAATTCCATAGTTCCAGCCTAATTCTGCAAGGGTAGGAATTGGACTTTGATAGTCATTGAACTCCATTGACTTGGGAGAATAGGTCCTTCCATCATGTAACAATGTGTATATGTCATTGTCCATGGAGCTGTGCATACATATCATGCCTCATCACAAAGATGTCCAACCATGATAGGATACAGTCAAACCCCGTTTACTCGGACCCCATATATCTGGAAACCGCGCCTTCCGGACGATTTTTAGGTGAAACGAAACTTACCTTCAGTAATTGTACTCGCATAGTCGGACCCTGCGCTTCCGGACCCTGACGGAGAATTTTCAAACCATTCCCATAGATTTCCATTGAAAAATGATCCTGTCATCAGGCCGGAAAGACCTGTGCACATGTGCATGTGTAAGTGTCACGTCAGTACTCTTTACTGCATGACTAAGTGTATTTATTGTTAATCTCTTGGCAGGCGTTTGATGTGAATTGATTAATTACCCATCAAAACACAAGGGACGCATGTCACTTCAGTTGTTAATCAGCATTTGGCAGTTGTGAGAACATCCCCAAGTCAGTAAGGAAAACACAATTGGGGACATTTTAAAATCTAAATATAAATGGTTAAGACTATCAGAAAATTCAGCCTTTTGCTTGTTTGATCCAGTTAACCGGAAGCCTTGCTATCTGGATGATTTCCGAGCGTAACCAAAATGTCCGGATAAACGGGTTCGACTGTATATGATTCCTATCTGACACTGATTATCCGTAATTGTTGTTCATTCAGTTGTCATTCAAGTCAATAACAGTTGTAATGACCTAGTCGGTGGTTATCTGATTTCAATGAATGTGGTGTGAAGATATGAGATTTCGAAGCAAATTTGTGGTGCAAGTATCTGCACCTAGTTTATTATGACTTGACACCTGGACGGTACAAGCCTGTGCATTGTTGCAGTACCTGCGCCTAACGCGAACACTCAAGTACTACAACTACATCCAGTTCCGGCCATGCACTACCGACTACCCCAACCCTAACTCCCGTGTCCTCATCGCAGCAGGGAACAAGGAGCTCAACTTCCGTGTACAGGTCGACAATCAAATGAAAGAAGGCAGCTTTAAAATTACACGGATGAAGTGTTGGCGAATTACAACAACGGTAAGCATGATTCAGGCCAGACCCTTTGTAATTCTTGTTTTGCTCAATGTGAAAGCAGGAAGCATAATAATAAAAGGAAAGGCTCTGTATGATTTGAGCATGTTGAAGTCAGTATTCTAAAATGTCTTTACAGTAAACTTGTAACAGTTATATGAAGCAAAATTATGTGAAAAAAAACATTTAAGGAGCATTTCTAAGTTAAGTGTAAAAGTATTCGTGTCTTATCATGAGTATAACAGAACACATTCTCTTCCCACAGAGGTTACTCCTGTCATATCTTCCTACGTAACCTCTGTTCTAATACGGCCCTTTCATGGTGTGAGCGTTCAAGACTCGTGATTGGAGGCAATCAGATTTAGTTGTGCAATCAGCGATGTTTCAAAAGTGATCATTCACAAAGCCTCGGTAATTTCCGTATGCTTCGAGAAAACTAAACTTCTTCCCCTGCACGATGCGGAAACGTTTCTTCTAGACAGAACTCAGTCATGTTATGGCGGAGCAGTGGCGTCTCCATCGCCCTCGTTGACAACGGACAAGCTAGCCATTAAACGTCTTGTGTGTAACATCAACACAAGTCCCCGGCAGATGGGGGATATTTGTGGCTCCACATTTGCTTGTGTTAGTCAAGTTGAATCTAAGTCGATGTAACACGTGTTCTGATGGATAGAAAGAAGGGAGATAATTTGTGTTGCGATCTGGTGCCGCTAGAGGATTTTACGAGAACCGGGAAATATGGCCGAATTAGAACAGAGGTTCGTAGGAAGATATGACAAGTAACCTCTGTGGGAAGAGAATGAACAGAACAGAGATACGGAAATATACATGTACATGTGAAATAAATTTAAGAAGTGAACACTGTTTTACAATGTTTACCATTATGGTATAATTTATCAGAGAACATATGAACTGATTCACCAGTGTGAATAAGTACTTTTAATGGGGATATTTTCGTCTTTCCATGAATACAGAAATGATGCTTATAACACGTGGCTGGTTGGGTTGCCTAGTGGTTAAAGCATTTTCTTGTTACATGAAGACTAGGGTTTGACTTAATGCATGAGTTCAATGCGTGAAGCCCATTTCTGGTGTGGGGCAGTGGGGTAGCCTAGTGGTTAAAGCATTCGCTTGTGACGCACAATAATTGGGTTCGATTCCCCATATGGTTACAAGGTGTAAAGCCCATTTCTGGTGTTCCCCGCTATGATATTGCTCGAATATTGCTAAAAGCAGCATAAAACCATACTCACTCAATCGTTTCTGGTGTCTCCTGTCAGGCGATTTGCTTGTATATTGCTGAATTTGGCATTCAACCTAACTCACTCATTTTTAACATATTAGTAATAGTATATGTTTCAGTAGAATTAAATACATGATTGTCCCTAAGTAGAGTTGAGCTGTACATGATCCAGCTGCTGGGTAACAATACACTGTGTTGGAATCCTAGTTTCCTGACGACCAGGAGGAAGGATCCAAGGACTCGAAGCCAAATCTGGAGTTGTCATTTGAATACTTGATGGCCAGAGACTCTTTGAAGTGGATTACGATTACAAGTGAACAGGTACGTTGATAAACATTATAAGTTGGAACCCTGTTGGTCTAGGAACATTGCCTATGGGTTGATGACAAGATTATTTTTATGGAGCATCTATCTGAATGCAAGTAACATAACCCTCCATGCTATGAGAGACCGTCTCCGTGGTGTAGTGGTTAGAGCGTCCGCCCAGAGAGGGGAAGGTCGCGGGTTCGATCCCCGACCGCGTCATACCAAAAGACGTTAAAATATGGTACTTGTTGGTCCCTGTCTGGCGCTCAGCATTAATGGGTACAACAAGGACTGGTCGGCTCGGAGTCAGTATAATGTGTCTGAGTGGGGTATTCATGCTTCACTGCGGCATGGTATCTTAGTGGGCTAGCACTATCAAACCAGCTTAAGTCTGGACTAGTACAAGCAGCCGCACATACACATACACATGCACATGCATGCACGCCGTCATATGAGCGAAATATTCTCAAGCACGACGTTAAACCCAATTTCAACTCACCTCACCTCCACGCTATGAGTACTCTGGAAATATGTAAACACAACAGTTTGTTTAGGGACAGTACCACCATCTGTGCAAGGTGATGATGGGCGTGATGCCAATGATATAGCAAGCCCTTGATAATACAGAGACAGTACTTCATCCTTTCGTCTCTGACTGCATAATGCTATATTTGAGGGTTCAGTGTTGGGGTCATATCACTAAAGATTGTATAATTGTGCTATGTTTTCATATGTATCTATTGCAAGTGAACAATTTGTATAAGTGTTTACCTTCAAATTTAAAGCAATGTACATTCTTGAACATGAATTTTTTTGGAATTGTCATGATTAAAGACTTGATGAAAACACTAACTCAAAGTTTGCATTGAAAAATATAGAAATAATTTAAAAGTTTACATTGTATGGATTGTAACAGCATTCGAATGTGGTCCAAACTGTCCCATTGGCTATTAGTATTATCCCACATATACTTGAACTTTAAGGACAGTGGGTAGCCTAGTATTGACCCAGCTTCAATTCCCAACATGGGTACAATGTGTGAAGCCCATTTCTGGTGTCCCTTCTGGGTGCCGTTCCACTGACCGATCTTAGCCCTACGCCAATCGTAAACCCCTAAAATCCCAATCTTAGTGTGACGTTACGATTGACAGACCGTTCCACTAACCAATCTTACCCAAGTCAATCGTAAAGTTAAGATTCAAAGTCTAAGTTGCTCATGACCAACTTAGGATCGCAAAAATCAATCGTAGAGAAAGCAAAATGGTGGCTTTCATATTCTTTGTGAAGAAGAAGAGCGAGCATTTCACCATGAACGCCCCCTAAAACCCCCCGTGAAATGAATTTGTTTATTTCTGTGATGTAAACAAACACTGCACTGAAGGCTTACAAATGTGAGGCCAGTCTGACCACTGTCGTCATGGGAACACAACCGAGGGGGTCCGTGTGATACATTTGTACAACAATATTGCAACGTCATGGTTAAGAATAGGGACGGGTCATGGAGTGAACAATGATCTGAAACAAAACGATACAAATATGTTTGATTTCACTGTGCATAATTGGTGGGGGATTCTAAAGGCAGGCTACGTGTTTTTCAAAGACCACTGACAGATTCTAGATACGTTATCAGGTGATGTGCTTGTGGCGAGGTCACTCCCTGTAATAACCCACCAGCCATAAGACATTTGCTAGTAACCGTTACCGTTTGCTCTGTACAGAGTAACGGCTCGATCGCTACGGCTGAATGACATTGGTTGCGTAATGGTGACAGGTACATTTTATCACATTTAAATCTGGTCAGTCATAGATAGCCAGTGCTTAGATGAAGTAATTGAAAATGAGTATGTGTTCAAAGGAATTGTGTTAAATGTGAATTTACGAATTTATGAGCAGTTGATTCCAAACAGAGTTGATGCTTTCGATTTCATTTGATTATTATTATCTAAATCTGTTGTAAAGAGAAATTCAATTTTGAGATTTTTGGTCACATATTGCAATTTGCCCGTCATGGATGGGTGTTACAAAAGTGTTGGATAATTTCATCAAATATGTCACATTTTACATCCAAGTCCTGACACCTGTACTTCGTGGACCCGGAAGACCCCCAAAAAAGCAAACCGTATCACCAAAATCAATGCTTGCAAACCGTATGGACGAAAACAATTTGCTACTAGCAAACGTGTCTCCACGTGTAGCAAGCCATAGCCTCTCAAATTAGACATTCATGAGTAACTTCACTATTTGATTGAAATTATCCACACCCAGTTACACACATGCATATCATAATACTTGTCACCTGTTACCACATTGGTTTGTGAAATGTATGTTATTTTGACAAATATAACATTTCCATTTGATGCCTAATCATACTGAATAACATGGAATTTTCAAACAGTTCTTGTAACATTTGTTCCAATTTTAGAAAAGAAATTGCCCCCCAAAAGCATAACGTTTGGCTTTACTTACACAATTTGTGCAGCAAGACCACATGGTGAAAAGTATTTTCAGCCGTAGCGAGTCGTTACTCTGTACATAGCAAACGTAACGGCCACTAGCAAACAGTGCGTGTGGTACTACAGGGTGTGAGGTAGAGGATGCCTCGTCACGCCTTGTTTATTCTGATCGACAAGGTTCAGCCACACATTATGCCTGATACCCAGTGTTCACACGCATTTGCCCCTGAAACCAAGGTGCTCACTACCCTAATTTTTCTCGAGGAATTTTCTCCACGTTTTCACTTGGTTCCAAAACTACTTCCATCGTCTTCTACAGTACAAGAATGCCAAAGGTGATAACTCGTGCATCGCATTCCTCTATCTCTCTCACGAAAGAGTCTCGATCTAAGCTTGGATCGGATCGTAAGATCGGGACCGGCTACGATTGGTTAGTGGAACGGGTGTAACTTTTAGCTAAGACGATTGTAAAATTGGCGTAACTTGCTAAGATTGATCTTAGTTAAGATCAGTTTGTGGAACGGCACCCTGGTATGTTGTTGGAATACTGCTAAAAGTGACATAAAACCATACTCACTCACTCACTTACCCTGTAAGACCTGTGACAAGAGTCCATGCAGCATGGTGTGATTATTTGTGGAAGGTTATATTCAGCAGGAAGGAGGATGTTGCTTGATCATGGTCGTGTTTGTTGCAGGCGATGTTAATGAGTATGAGTCTACAGGCAATGGTGGATGAACTTATCATGAAGAAACAAGGACGAAAATTCAAGAAGGTACGTTTTACAGGTTATGTTGTTACCACTGAACATCCACTAATTTATTGAAAGAAAAAATCAGAACTCAGGATGTCCTTTTTGTGATAAATAACATGATATAACCAAAACCCTACTGCTGTTGGACCCTGATGTACGGACTTTTTCCATTCGGTCAAGTAAACTTAGCCAATAAAATCTGTATTATAATACTAAAATCAGTGTGATGTATGTTTGGGCTAGTAGACTCAAATGCTTTTGCCACAGAGTGTGTACCTTTGTACTCCAAGCTTTGAATCTACTTGTCTGAAAAAAGCTCTTTGTGTGAGCAGGAAATCATGCAGTTCATTTTTGGTTTTCCTGGTCACAGCTTGATTAGTAAAAGCCACATTATTGCTGACTGTTGCACAAAACATTCATTAACTCACACAAAGCAAATTAAGTGACGTAATGTTTAACTGATATTATGTTGCACTCTGCAGCCCTCAGACCGACTAAAGAACCCATCTCGAGGGGTGATGAGGAGTGGTTTCAGTAGCAACAGACAGTCTTCTTTACCTAATGGAGAGGTAAGGTTTCAGTTTCGATAATTGTTCCGTCTGGAAAAATCAAAGCAATATAAATCATTTAGATAATATGGATTATGATGGCAGTAATATTCTTGGTAGTAGCTCATGTTTTATCAGAACTGGTTGTTATAACGTTCTACATATATGTAGAAAAGCCAAAATGTCTTTTGTCGACATAAAGCGGTAAAACTAAAACTCAGTCAGTCAGCTTCATGTTTAGTCAGTACTGGTTGAAGTTAATGTAGAAACATGCTTATAATAACCTTGAATAAATACAAGAGGTACTTTCATGTTCAAAATTGCAGCAAACCAATTGCTAATATTAATTCTAGTTTTTTTGGAAGCCGAAATACCTTGTACTGATGCTGGTTTATTTATTTGTGATAAGAAATTGAGCAAGGATCCAAACTGGTTAAACGCTATCATTGGTTACTGACATTATTAATAATAATTAGTCCATTTATATTACGCTAAATCCACACCGACACCGCTCAGAGCGCAGGATTATTATTACCCCGGATAACCTAAGCTGCCTGTGAGGCACTAGAAGGTTTATAGTCACATGACTTATCCCACCGGGTACCCATTTTCTGCTGGGTGGACAGAAGCAATTTCGAAAAAAACATTGACATTGTTAAACGATCCAAACTAGATTGTTTGCCATTATTTGATTGTCACCTATCCTACAGAACATACCAGATTGACATACCATGCATATGTGTGATGATGGTTTTTTGATACCTGTTTGTCATGTGACCTGCCTGTTGCCTGCTTATGTATTCATGCATGTTTCCCTTCATGCTGCCCCCAGGATATAATGGAGGAGAACCAAGTAATGAACATGTGTATATAGATCATTTTTGTTTTCATGCTTTTTATATAGTCAGTGTATTTTACTCCTTGTTATATTGACAGTGAAGCACAAAACTGTTGATGTTGGTAACGTAAGGAGATTGTGTCAAGTCTTTTCATTACTGGGTGGTACACTTTGCAGCGACCCACGAAGATCTGGGTTAGATTTGATCTTCAGTAACCCATGCTTGTCGTAAGAGGCGACTAATGGGATCGGGTGGTTTGGCTTGCTGTTTTGGTTGACTCATGTCATTGGTTCCCAATTGCGTAGATCGATGCTCATGATGTTGATCACTGGATTGTCTGGTCCAGACGATTATTTACAGACCGGTGCCATTTAGCTGGAATATTGCTGAGTGCGACGTAAAACTGAACTCGCTCACTCACTCACTCATTACCCTTTGCCGCTGTGTTCGCTTGGAGTTAACTCCCTTTGCTGTCGTCATGTTTAATCAGCCTTCATTCAGATACACTATCAATGTGTCTGGTTGTCGTGATAGTTGTGTTAGTATTTCTTTCAAGTATTGTGAGTTGTGTAGCTGTAACTTGTATGCTTGCATCCCAAAATTTGTTCAATATTATTTATGTGTTGACTCCTTTCTGATAGCAAGTGGACTTCTGTTTGTAATTTCCAGAGCACAGCAAGCCACTTTTTTCGTGTAAGCCCGATAGGTTGCAAAGCTTTAGATTTAGATAGTACTGAGGGCTTGCCCAACCTTTTAGCAACAATCATGTGTCAGCTCGGGCTTTTTTTTATAATGGTAGTTACGCCCTGATTTCTGAAATTTGAAAGGAAATGTTTTATGTTTGATGAAATCTGACTCATGGTGTAATTTGTACCAGGAAGAAAACTATGCATACATATAATATTTCCCAACAGCATTTTTTACACAGCTGAACATATTTATTGCTAAAGTCATGACTTTGTGGATGAGGTCATTCTGTAGTTTCCCTTGTCTGTGTAGAAAGAGGAAGTTCATGTCAAAAGCGGGAACCACTTGAACAAGTTGTTTTTTCTCCCTGAAACTTTGCATGGAGCTGGGTTACACACCTTCAAGTGATGACTGTTGACATACAGTATGGAGAAGAATACACTGGCTTGCAATGGAGACAATGTTTTATGTTTGTGCTGACATCATGTTAAGTTCATTAGTAGCTCTCGGCTGTCAGTTGCCATGGTAACCTCATCAACAGATGTTGTTATTTCCTAGCAGGTGATTTGTAGGTGATCACACAAACCTTCAACAAACATTGCCATGTGCTATCATGTATGTAACAGTTATTACGTAGATGCAGGATAAACATGATAAGAGTTAAGTCAGGGAGTAGTGTATACAGATTTGTTGGTGAACTGTTTGTTTTATCTATTTCAATTATGAGGGAAGAGATAGGTATGTAGGTATGTCATTTGGGTGCATTATTTCAACACGGTATGCTTTTTCATCTATATCTAGATATTGATGTTGCTGTGAAAAACAACTAAATCGATTGGTTAATTGCATGTCATGGTACCCATATGTTCATATCAACCACTGGTTTATCAGTGATCGATGGCTGTGATTTATCTCTGATTACAACATGTTCACATTGTTTTGTTTCATTGTTTCACATAGCTTGTGTATATTCCTTTGCTTGGAATGCCAGTCAACATGGTCAAATGCAGGGCTCGATTTAGTGCTTTGTTACTTGCACTGGTGCAACCCAATATTACATAGTGCAACCTAGCTATTAGTCTAACTTGCACCAGATGCAACTCATTTTTTGAGCGGGTAAACTCTGAATAAAACATCTAAATAATTCAATAGCATATTTCTTTCATTACATATTGCAATAAAAGCAGTGCAACTAGAATTTGCAGTGCAACTAGGTTTTATCTTAGGTTGCACCTGATGCAAGTAGGTTAACATATCTTAAATCGAGCCCTGAAATGTTTGTACATGATTCAGTGTTTCTGCTGACATTTCTGGGGTGTGCACTGGTCAGCTGTGTTCATGTCTGTAGTTATTTCATTCACCCGCTTGCTTTCTGTAGGCATTGTGCACGATTACATTATAAATCACACCACTGACTATCAGAGATTTTGAACATTCATTGTGGTTGAATGTTTTGTGTTTCAATATCTTCAGCGATAGAAACATTTTAGTCTACCAGTTCTTATAATGATAAGGGAAAGCAAGATCCATAAGAATGGCAAATTGCTTCAAGTTGGGCAGTTTGAAAAGGTCTGTGGGACCTGTGACAGTTTCTATCGCTGCCCTTAATCATGATGAAGTGAGATGTGTGTATGAGTGTATTTGCAGTATGGTTTTATGCCACTTTTAGCAATATTCTTGGAATTCCACCAGAAATGGGCTTCACACATTGTACCCATGTGGGGAATCGAACCTGGATCTTTGGCAGGACAAGCAAACATTTTAACCACTAGACTAGACTACCCCTGTGTGCATGAACAACACAACAGTAAATATCATATAATATAAATGATTTTATTGGCATGTAAAATTGGGGCCTGGCTGACAAGGTTGTAATTGTTGTATGATTGATAAGGACCCTGGGGTCATCCTGGCTGGGCTGGAAGAGATACCATATGTTCTGAGGTCACAGATCCTCATGTACAAGTTATGTCCTTGAGCCAAATGAGAACAAGAACTTTATCAGGTCATTGTGACCCAGACAAGGTAGTACAAATATCCTGGATGTAGATGAAAATTATTTCCTTGAGTTGTTTGAGCCTGATGGAAAGAAGAGCTTTATCAGGTCATCATGACCCAGATGAGGTAGTACAACTATCAAGGATGTAGAAAAAAGTAATGGTATTGTTTTAGCTGAATAGAGGGAGTATTCTATCCAGGATTTGTTATGAACCAGACCAACCCTGTAGGTATGACCCAGGGGTAAAACACAGGGCTAAATGAATTAGGAGAGGGGGTGGTGGCAGGGTGAATGGAAGCCCTTATTATTTAGCAGTTGGGTAAGTGTCACTGTGATAGGGGATGAAGAGTGGGACTTGTTGTCCAAACTGAGAGCAAAGGGGAAGATTGTCATGACACAGTTTATAGCTGTTTTATAGGTACAGGTGAATTAGTGTGTGATATCTACATACAAATGTCATGATGAGCACACAGTGAGTGAGTTTAGCTTTTACGCCGCACTCAGCAATATTCCAGCTATGTGGCGGCGGTCTGTAAATAATCGAGTCTGGACCAGACAATCCAGTGATCAACAGCATGAGCATCGATCTACGCAACTGGGAACCGATGACATGTGTCAACCAAGTCAGCGAGCCTGACCACCCAATCCTGTTAGTCGCCTCTTATGACAAGCATAGTCGCCTTTTGTGGCAAGCGTGGGTTGCTGAAGACCAATTCTACCCCGGATCTTCACGGGCCGATGAGCACACAGAAAAGGCCTGAGGACGGTTGTCGGTTCACATACTAATGTTCAGTTTTCACTGAGAATTATTCTTCATTCTCAAGCACATGCACATCAGCATCCATTTCTGCATGTTCGGTCCAGCAATTGCATGCACTTAGAAGGTCTGGATACAGTCTGCATGCAGCATGGATTATTTCATCAGTGAATTAGGTTCTTTTGTTAGCAATCAAAATTAACCTTCTAAACAATGTTAAAATACCTTTTGACTATCATTACTTCAGAATATGTATGATTAGCTTGCACCCAATATTGTTATTAAATCATTGGTAGCTGTTCATTGCCAAATAATCTTCAGCCTTGTTTCCATGTTTGAAATTCCTTTTCAGCGTACTGCAGTACTCACTTACTATTTTTACATATATAACCCGTGAAGATCCGGGTTTGAGTTGATCTTCAGCAACCCAGGCTTAGTGTAAGAGGCGACTAACTGGATCGGGTGGTCAGGCTGGCTGACTTGCTTGACACATGTCATCGTATCCCAATTACGTAGATCGATGCTTATGCAGTATACACTGTTTGTCTGGTTCCAGACTGCTGCCATTAGCTGGAATATTGCTGAGTGTGGTGTTAAACAACACACCAACTCACCATATTTACATATATTGATTCTTGTTGTATATGTGAGATATTTGTTTATATAGTTTAAAATGTGTTATATATTAATCATGCAACAGCTTAGACATATATTATCATGAAGTATAAGTATAACTGACTCATTAATAAGCTAGGATGTAATATTTCATTGATTTGATGTTATCTCAGTGATAGTTGTTCATTAATGTTTGAGTAGCCCATCACGATATTAGACTGAAAACAATTTGCTATTATTTTATACTGGGACTCTCTATTATCGTGGGCTCTCTATTATCACAGGCACGTGAAAACATCGGGAAAGCAGAAACACCACGTGCCGCATCGGCTGTTTACATGTGCAAATTACGTAAAATAAATCATCGCTCTTGAAAATGTCATTTATTTCATTGGATGTCATGTCTAATTGTAGAAATATTAAAGCATTCATCTTTTCAGTAAGTTCTAGAACATTTTGAATCTAGTATGACCACTACTGCCATTACATCTCACAGGCCCTCATGTCTTTGCGAGGATTAAAGATGTTAAAAACACATAAAACATTGGAGATGACCCCTGACTCAAATGCTTCACAGTACAATACATTATGACAAGGTCGGGCACTTCGGTGTACCCTACCCGCCTGCTTTGCCGATCGCTACGCTACCATCGCATGCAATCGATTAAAACTTAATGTAAACATAATCATGGATGATTGGCCTATCGAGCACCACTCATGACACCTACCAATTCTTTATTGTTATTTCTGCAAGTCGATTTAAACCCTATTTTGACCCCCAACTAAATGATCTTGACACAAATGGATGACGATGTGTCCGCACAAAATGGGTGTGTGGTCAAAGCAAGTCCTCTGGCTGGTTGATCCTTGTTTTTATTACCCACGTGGTCAACGTATGGGTAGTTGCATACTAATCCCGTACGTCACACGAGTGTCGTATCTCGTTGACCTGTGTCGTAACGACTTGACCTGAGATTTTAACGATTTGATTGGATAACCGATGACCTCTCAATTAGGTCACAATCTGTCGTAACTATTTTTTCATTCATAACCAACACGTGAATTCATTCATTCTACAACTTAAATGCATTGTGGGAATGTAAACATTGCGAACGCTGCCGTGTCGCTGTTTAATTGTGAGTCGAACTGAGACATTATATCCATCGAAAAACATAAACGCAATGTTTCCACCAGTGATGTCAGATGAATGAAGCAACTGCAAACCAAGAATCGGGGTGCTAAACTCATGACCTTCCTATGTTATCTGACCTCGAGGCCGAAGGAAGGCCACTCGTTTCGTATAATTCGTATGTAATGAGACCTCGTGTAGTATTCTCTATAGGAGACATTTAGAACTGATGCTTTCTTATGAGAAGCCATTGCTCGAAAAAATTCTTACATTGAGCAGTCAATGAAAGAAAAAAATCCTGCAAATTTATAAAGAATTGCAGATTTGCAAGCATTGACCAATCAGAGGACTTGCTTCGACCACACCACCGTTTTGTGAGGACATATCGTCATCCATTTGTGTCAAGATCGTTTAGTTGAGAGTCAAAATCGGGTTTCAATCGACTTGCAGAAATAACAATAAAGGATTGGTAGGTGTCATGATTGGTGATCGATAGGCCAATCATCCATGATTATGTTCACATTAAGTTTTAATCGATTGCATGCAATGGTAGCGTAGCGATCAGCAAAGCAAGCGGGTGGGGTATACCGAAGTGTCCGGCCTTGTCATAATGTATTGTGTACTGTGTAGCATTTCGAGCCGGGGTTCATCTCAAAACCTTTTTTTTAATCGTTAATCTTCGCAAAGACACGAGGGCCTGTGTTACATCTAGCATGAATCAAAACTTACTTTGTCAAGAATAATCCTGTGACACTATAAGGTCATTTGCATATTTTCCATGCTAAAATTATAACAGAAAGTGAAGTATTATGCAACTTCACTCTACACACGGCAGCAACTTGTATGGTACGTTTTAAGGCAGAAAAACAATATTTTGTAATGTTATTGTTACCTTGTATCCAAATGAATAGAAGTTTCAGATGTTTGGGTTAAAAACATGATGATATTACTAATGTGAATGAAATTCCTAAATAATTTTTAATGATCAAACTATTTAGATTCGTTTCTTGTCCTAGTAAATGTTTCTGCTTGTACCGCGTGCCATAGTAAGAAAATAGCAATACCGTGATAATAGAGAGTTGCTTCAATTTCCGGGTCAAACGAGACAATCGGAATTGCTGCGATGGTATTAAATGTGTTGTGACTATGTGTCACATTATTTGTGACAGAAACGAAGATTGAATAACAGTCAGCTGAAAATATATATAAAATGCTCAATGTCAGTAGCCGTTCATAATCCCGATGGCAACAACATTAACTACCGCGATAATAGAGGGTCCCATGATACTAGCATCAGTAGAATGCAATAGAGCTGCGACAATTCACTTGCAGATTCAGTGAATATAAACCTATCTCCATGAATTCATGGTCATTAGAATCGAATATTCAGTGTTACAAAGAAATAGTTTTTGAACTTAAACTTGTCTGCTATATATGAAAGCAAGATATGCAAAATGAAAAAAAATACTCATGCAGTAGTTTCACGTGTGGCAATTAGTGGTAAACTGTGTCATTGTTGTGAATTAACCCTGTTAACATTATAAAATGAATAATACATCTGCTGAAACAATATTGTATTTATGCCCCTTTATTCATGATACGTATCGTGTTATTATTCACATCGTAGTTTATTCATTGCAGCTCTAGTATTTAGAAACATACGGAATCTGTGGAACTTTCTTGTTAGACGTTATCCCAGCACCTCTTAAAGGTTTAAGGAAACAGCGTATGAAGAGAGCTTGGACCATTTTATCGTTATCGAAGAGGGTTTGTACAATTCTTAAGAGGGCCTGTCATCCTCGGAAACTAAATGCCCACCCATCTGATGCATGTATGTTTGGTATTATATGTCTGTGATCTGTTTCAGAATGACGAACAGAGTGCAATAAACAAAGCAATGGGGTCCATGAAGAAGATATCAGTAAGTCTATCCATATAGGGCCTGTATGTACACATGAGTTTGACAGTATTTGTGGCCTAGTGGATAGAGTGTTAGCCTGGCGAGAAGATGGTTGGTGGTTTCAGGGCTCCAGATAAGGGCCGGATCGGCATATGTACGGATAGAAAATAAGCACGATACAGTAGGAAACAATTTTAAAAACGTAGCAGATACGGACCACAGCAATGGTGTACGGTTTCAGAATCATATACAGACGTATTTATCTGAAAAAGTATTGTTTTATTGTTTACTGACCTGTTTACACAAGAGTAGCAATGCTGTGGTGCATATATGAAACGAAACACAAGATTACTGATACGCCATTAAATTCCAGTCAGTACTCTAAATGTACTCTTATTGTTTTCCAGTACTCCTATATTGAAAAAATAAGGAGTACGTACTCCTGATCATGAAAAATTATCTGGAGCCCTGTGGTTTGATACCCTGTCTGGGTCATACCAAAAGATGTTACATGCCTGGTAATTGGCATTAAGAGGATAGAACATAGTGGGCACAGAGTTAGTGAGTGAGTTGTGTTTTACAATACTTTTAGCAATATTCTTGCAATTCCACCTGAAATGGGCTTCACACATTGTACGCATGTGGGGAATTAAACCTGAGCCTTTGTTGTGACAAGCAAACACTTGAACCACTAGGCTACCCCACTGCCCTTGGTACAGTGAGTCTGAGTAGGGTATCTATGTTAATACTGCAGCGTGGTATCTAACTAGCATTTTCAAACAGGCATGAGTCCTCATTGTACAAGCAACCACACAAATGCATGCATATTACTATTAAAGTGCAATAATCCTGAAGGCAAGGCTAAACCCCATTTCACATGGGTCATATAATTTCATAAAGGCCTACTTGGCCTGATCAGAAACAATAGCCTTAACTGTTGTAACATCTCCAAAACAAATTATACCAAGCTGTAACTTGGTAGGCAAGTGTGTGCTCCAATTGTGCACACTCCATTCTTGTCTTGTCAATTAAGAGCCAGAAATTAGTGTATGAGGACCCAGTGAAACCACTCTACAAAATTACACATGTTTCTTTTTGATTTCCAGGATAAATTATCGAAGAGTTCTTCCAAGGCTGACAATGGTCTAACAGAAAACACAGCGTTTGAAGGGATAGGAGATGATGACTTATGATCACAGCCAGTGAAGAAACAGACTATTCCAGCCATACTCAGTTGTACTCAAGCATCCCTTCAGTCATTCACTATAGGGCAGAAGAGGTTGACACAGATCAGGAAGCACCTCACACACAGAGTGGTTACACGAGAAGTTGTATGTCCTTGCTTTCAAACTGGGAAATGAATATTTAACCTGCTTTTCCCTGATATGTTAACAGTACATCATAATAATATGTGAAACTCAATAAGGAAATATTACAGCCTTTATCTAGGACATTAGAGACTTTACCAGGTGTTATTCTAAATCAGCTTTCACGATACTGAACCATGCTTACTGAAATCTGAATGAGAGTAAATTTAAGTTGAAAAATGCAAATTTTAAAATATTTTAAAAACAATTTGCATAATTTGAATTTAGTTAATTGGTTGCAGAACAGTCTTTCAACTTAATATGATTTACTCATCAAATTGATCAATATAATGGCATCTTGTATTGCATGATGTACAGATGTTGTGTTGTAGCGATACAGTGATGAATTGTGACTCCCCGTCTAGTATGTGGAAATATTGACGACAGTTGTAAATGTGGCTTGATAGTCACACAGAGAATGTGATGGAAGATTTCAAGTATGTGCACAGTGTACCTGTGTATCACTCAAGTCTCCAATGTTATTAACCCAGATTCAGGCTGCATCTTTCTTGGATGACATTGTGGTACCATTGTCACGATAGAGGACACTTTGTTCCTACAGTCCCTTTAGAAGATGCCACAAATTCCTATTGATTATCATTTGTATGTTTTGAATGGCTTAACATGGTGCTATATTACCGGGTCACTAATCGCAGTTATCATTAAAGAAAGGTTGAAATACAGACATGTAAGTTAAATTCTCTGGTTCATCAACATGTTGGAGTATTTTACACCCAGAACTAGGAGTGTGGCAAATTTGATGAAATGTCATTACTATCTGGCTAAGAATATTCATTTGCTAGTTTCATTTCATCGTGTATCATTTTCATAACGATAGTGCTTACCTGTAGAGCTGCTTCCCATCAGGAGACTGTAATCGGTATTAGTAGTACCTATATCACTTGTTTTATAATGCAATAGTTACATACCTTATTAGGTTATTTTAATCAGTTGAATAAGTAAATGTAATCAGAATAATTTCTTGATAGGTAATACTAAGCTCCATGTATCCAGTGGTATATAATACAGCAGACATTTTCTAATACCTACTTGTCACCATCCTCTACATGTTCTGGACCAGCATTGCGGTAAACCTGAAACCCCTGATCCATTTCCATGGTTCTTGCAATCACAGATTACCTGCCCTGACTTTCATTGACATTTTATCTACCAGACATTGATGTAAAATAAAGGGAAAAAGTAAGGTTGGTAACTCATAAAACCTCCAAAACCTCTGCCTGTTTTTAATTAACATGAAGACATTCTGTCCATCAAAAATATTTTTTGATAGCTTTCTTTTGCTTGTCAGACAGTTTTTCAATATTGAACTTCTAGCAAACTTGGTTATAATCGATGTTGCTGTGTGTTGATATAAGAAGCCCAGAATTGATGCTGGTTTGAAACTCCCATTGTGATTGGTTCCTCAGACCAGGCCCCAATTTCTCAGGGCCTGGTAGTATAGCCAACCAAATGAGCAAGTGGAATTCAAGGGCAGTCGATTTGAAAACCATGGGAGTGGATCCAATGCCAGTTCACCAAAATCCGAGTCCTGGAGATATAGAGGAAGATTTAAGAAGCAGACTGCCATCCCTTATCTCACAGTTGGACTTGATTTCACCTGTCCCTTTGAATGAATTATGATTATATAACTGTGTATTATGTCCGATTTATTGTTCAGGTTTAAAGATATTCATTTGTTTACCTTGTGTTACCATGGTTACCTGTTTGTATATTGGCATGTATCTGCTACTATTTGTCAGATTCATATACATGATTTTGGTGATCACTACATATACTGGCATTGGAACCTAATCGCATCTGTATATGTAATTATTTTTTTCACTTTATTATGTTTATTTTGTAACATTAATATCGATTACTCTATTTTGAATGGCTCTTTCAAGAATTGTTAATGTTGTGTCTATACTGAATTGTAGTTTTTGCCTTTTGCTGCAACAAGATGTTATAGAAATATCCAATAACAGGAGATGGAGATATGAATATTTGATACATCAGTATGTCGTATGACCAGGGCTTCAAAATCCACTCGTCCACTTGTTGTGATGTCAAGGGTGAGAAAGAAATGAAAATATACTTGTCCTTCTGGCCAAGTCAGTATTTCAATGCAAAATAGGAAACATTCACTTCAAGTGTTGCCAGTTGAGCAAGTTTGAATTGATAGAAATTAACACATATGAATTGTGTTATACATGTCCTCAACTCAATAATTAAAAACAACCAAGAAAAATGAAACTTTAGTTGAGGGCAGGTAAAACTATTGCAGGATGACTACAGAATGGTATGATCTTGCCCTCCAGCATTAGTTGAATTCAGGACATTTTCCAGCCTTGATGTCCGTAATCATGATCACTGTTAATGGACAAATGTCCATATTGATATTTGTTTTGAATAACTTTATTTACTTCTTTGAGATTATCAAGAACTACTGTTTTGCTCTGAATCCTATTTCTTGGTAAATACAAATCTGTACTTATTTCATTTGAGAAGAAGCCTTTTTATACATTTAAGTCACTTTATGAAGGACATGTTTACCAACTACTGCTATGTCCTTTCTTTAAAAAAACCCCTGTCTACCTGTGTTCTGAAACTGTCAGTGATTGACTCCAGAGTTTTTTTGCATGGTATAATTGTAAACCCACATTTGTCCTTCGGCCATCAAGAGATGAGAAAATTGAGTCATCCATTTAATGTTGTTACTGGCAAACAAGAATAAGTTGCACAGACACAGAGAACGTGTGTACGAGAAGTAGGCGGTGCACTGCAATGAGCAGACCCATTTGGTTTGTGAAAGGTAGAGCAGATGTAGGCTCGTGGACGTGCAGTGCAAGACGATGAAATTGATTCCGTGCTTAGCTGCACAAGCCTTGCTCATAAGACTCCCACGTCGGTGTAGCAACATAGGCGGATCCAGAGGGGGGTGCAGGGGTGTGCACACCCCCCCTTTTGTCCTGAAAGTTTATTAAATGACCATTGAAACTCGGGTGTAAATGAAGTGTGCACCCTCCCTTTTCTCAATAGTGTGCAACACACACACACACACACACACACACCCCTTCTCAAAAAGCTGTATCCTCCCCTGAGCAAGTCGCACTACACTTGATCACGGACAACCTGGGGCCCCTTCGCTAACAATGGCAAGCGTTAGCGTCAGTGGGCAGCACTCATACATGCTAATTCAATTGTCAGGTCAGTGCTCCACTTATCCTTGTTCGCCAGTAGAGGGGCCTGGGGGCAATTTTAGAAAATGGTTTGTTCATGAAAATACTGGAAAAGAATAATTTGGCCACAGTTTTACCCCAGAGAAATTGTAGGCCATACATGCTAGATTCCCGGAAGATAAAAGAGTAATGAATGAACTTGAAGCAGTAACAGAATTCTGTCTCTGATAAAAATCATAATCCTCTTTTGATAAAAATATCGTATTCTATTATGATGTATAGATTTGACCTTTTTAAAAAAAATTCAGGCATGGCAATGCATTTTGTAAAAAGTTCTATTTCGTTGCAAGCTTTAACAATGTGTATATTAGGAGTCAGAGTGCTCATACAGAAGAAACTTGCACATTTTTGAATGTGCACAGGCCAAATTTGTACATGCCGCCAAAAATAATTCTTTTGAAAATTTTGACATTTGTATATTTCTCCCTTGTGTAAATATCAGAAATATGCTGTGGAACATCCGAGTGCTTGAGTTTAACAGACAATAAGAATATGCCAGATATATTGGTTCATCTGTTAAGGTTGACTGTATATACTATGTCCATCCAGATGCTGATATATATATTGAAATCTATGCTACAGAAATATTATTGTCTTTCCTGCCTGTATTTAGTTAGTGTATTTTTACACATTTTGGATATTTTGTCTAAATTTTGAAAGCAATAATATTGCTTAAATAGTTGTAGGACAGTTATGTTCTTGGTCCTCATTTGAGAGGGTTTGGTTTCTCCAATAATGAATGTACTCCTATGTACCTAAAGCATTGTTCAGTTATTGCCTTCAAGTATTTGTTGAAATATACTACCCATCAAAAGATGAGACTCTCCTAAAGCACTCACTATATGTTATGTATATATGGTTACATCAAAGATGAATTTCTCCACAAACTTGGGGGAACCAACTGCAAACCTTATGCAGATGAATTGCACGAGGATCATTCATCAAATTGCTGAAAAGCATGTGCAAATATCATGCATGTGAACAGGTGCGTTTCGTGTAAAGTTTTGTTAAGAATTCGCCAATTTTCACCTTTTATTGGACTCCTGTCCATAATCTTTTCAACGTTACGAATTTGTTTACCAATTAATCAGTTCATGTGTAAACAGCACCTTTAAACAGTATGGAATATTTAGCAAAATCTAGTTTAGAACAGTTGACTGGAGTAAATAGCTACATTTACACTAGTGAGTCTACACTTTTGATCGGTAGTATGTCTTGAGTATCTAACTGTAACCTCTATATATTTCTGTGTTTATGTTTTGCTCTTTGTGATGAAAAGTGAATTTTTCTGCTAGCCCTTAATTTCTTATAAATATGTAAAAATACCAACTATAAGAAAGAAGTTGTTCACAACATTGATTATTGAAAAGATCCATGAAGGATTTTATATTCAAAACTTGTGATGTTTCTAGCTTTCTCTATGTTTCTAATTTACAGTAAACATAAACTCGTTGTGAAATGCCCTAACACTAAGTTTAAATTATTACCTGTATGATACTTTTGTGTATAAACTTTATACATACTTGACACTAAATAGCTGTAATTGTTTGAAAATGTGACCTCCTGTGTGTGATATGTTTACGTATTTAATCTGTAAATATTTACCTTGTTTTCAAAAACAATATTTTGCTATGACCAATGACTAGTCACTATAATGGGTATTATTGCATGTGTTTTTGTCCGTGTTGTTGAGAGGAGAAAGTTTTGTGATGTTCATTGTTTTACAATGGATTGTTGACTCTGTTGCAGCATATCAGAAGGTAGTAGGACATTTAATCAAAATATATATAGCACTAAATCCACCTACACTATGGCTTGTTCATATAACCACTAATCCCCACCATCTGTATCCACTTAGTAAGTTGATCAATGCTTATACTGTTGATCAGTGGATTGTCTGGTCCAGACTTGAATATTTACAGACCACCACCATATAGCTGGAATATTGCTAAGTGTGACATTAACCAACAAACACAAAAACATACCAGGCTGTATTGGTTAATATATATGAGTTTGTGTCACCTCAGCCATCCTAAGTGAATAGATAATGCGTTTATTTCGGCATATATAAGTTCAGGACAAAAGCAAAAAACTTTCAAATTCAAGATCTTGTTGAGAGAAACAATCCATAGTGAGTAATTCCTTGCTTCAACATTTTATGATTCCACCATATGTTCCATCATGGCTGTGGTTGCCTTGACAACATGAAACATCAATAACCCTAATATTGGATACATACAGTAATTGTTTACACAGTACATCCATACTTGGCTTAAATATCTGTTGTACTTTGATGTATCATATTTTCACATCCTAAAAGGGAACTATTACTCATAATGATTTTTTTTACCATTATATGTCTTAGAATTACTCCAAGTGTGTTCTTAAATCAGTATCTCCTAGTTTATATACCATGCCCTAGGTTCCTCCAGAACTCCTAAACAGCTTCTTTAACAGTGTTGACAATCGGTCACATTATGTAGGTAACTTCATTAAAGGAGATGAAGAGACACTCGCCATACTGGCAAAATATTATGTCAAACGTTAAATTATCATACAAGTCAAGGTTGTGGGTTATCCTGAAGTTTCAGCTTGCAAAGAGAAGACATATTCCTGTCATGGTTAAATACTCCAAGGAATTTGTTGGAGAAAGTCAGTGATGAACATTTATGGAAAAGACTTCTTGGTAGAATTGTTTCTGGATTTTGTTGGTGGTGCATTTGACAATGTGTTCTTCTGGCATATGTTGGTGGGAAGAGCGTATTGGAACTGGCTCTTGGTATTCTGATGTAAAGCAATATTGTCAACTACAGATTCATGTTGTCTATGTGAAACTTTATAAACTTGGAAACACCTTCCAGTAGTATCATTCACTTTGGACTTACCATAATCTGTCATTTCCCCCAAGCGGGACAATTTGTTTTCCCAATAACAGGACAATTTGTTTTCCCCAAACGGGACAATTTGTTTTCCCAATAACGGGACAATTTGTTTTCCCAACAACAGGGCAATTTGTTTTCCCAAGAACGGGACAATTTGTTTTCCCAATAACAGGACAATTTGTTTTCCCAATAACGGAACAATGTGCTTTCCCAATAATGGGACAAATATTTTTCAATAACGGGACAATTTGCTTTCCCTCCAACAACGAAGCAGGCTGGAGGTGGTCACATGTTCTCGTTTGAACTTACGAGGTGAGGTGAGGCTAAATTGGGTTTAACGTCGTGCTTGAGAATATTTCGCTCATATGACGACGTGCATGCGTGTGTATGTGTATGTGCGGCTGCTTGTACTAGCCCAGACTTAAGCTGGTTTTATAGTGCTAGCTCACTGAGATACCATGCCGCAGTGAAGCATGAATACGCCACTCAGACACATTATACTGACTCCGAGCCGACCAGACCTTGTTGTACCCATTAATGCCGAGCGCCAGGCAGGGACCAACAAGTACCATATTTTAACGTCTTTTGGTATGACGCGGTCGGGGATCGATCCCGCGACCTTCCGCTCTCCGGGCGGACGCTCTAACCACTACACCACGGAGGCGGTCTTTGAACTTACGAGAACTACTTCCATTCCCGTTACCATTTGCCTTGAATGGTATGCTGCATTTTTCATACAGCTCTTTTATCGCTGGTAGTTTCTCATTTTGTGAAATAATTGTCGAACATGTTAATGAAACTGAAGATACAAGCGTGTGTGTAGGTGCTATAGTTTAACTCACAAGGTCAAGGTCACTAAGACCTGCATCAGGTTGAGAAGGAATGATGATATTTAACTCAATGTACCTAGCTTTACGAATTATTGTTAAAACTGAAATATTATTAAAGCGTCTTTTCATGTTTCAATGAGAACCTTCTTCATTGTCCATCAAGGAGCCTTTGTTTTCACAGATGTGTTATGTAGACTTATATATATGCTGACAACATTAGAAACGCACCATCCATATAATACGAAATATCCCCGTCAGACTGAAATGTACCCATGATATCTGAGCATCGTCGGTGCATTTTAGTGTGGTGCGTTTCTAATGTTGTTCGACCCCTGAAGATCCGGGTTAGAGTACGTCTTCAGCAACCATGCTTGCCACAAAAGGCGACTATGCTTGTCGTAAGAGGCGACTAACGTGATCGGGTGGTCAGGCTCGCTGACACATGTCATCGGTTCCCAATTACGCAGATCGATGCTCATGCTGTTGATCACTTGATTGTCTGGTCCAGACTCGATTGTTTACAGATCGCCGCCATATATCTGGGATATTGCTGAGTGCGGCGTAAAACTAAACTCACTCACTCACTTTAATGTTGTTCAGTAAATATATCGTACTGACATTCGCAGGATTGATTCAAAAAGAGACAAAATCAAACAGGAACTGTTTCTCAGCTCTTAACTTCTTTCATTGGACATTTCCCCAGAAAGTAGTTTATCACCATTATAGCTATAAGACTAGGCTATGGATTGGTTAAAATGGTTTGACCCAACGAACGTTCTACTCCTGTTTGTATTCATACGGATTTGTGACTTACACTGTTGGTGATTTTGATTTACACTCATGTAAGGTGATACAAATCTGTGTCCAGTTTAACATTCATACTCCATGTCAAATGAATATCAGAGCTTCATATTACATTGCTAATATAATTCTGTTATCCCATATAAGCTTCATGTTGCAATACGTTTGAGGTGTTACTATTGTTGATATAACTTACGCCATTTTGTAAATATATCCTATTGTATTTGTTATTGATACAGACGCTATTTTTATGTCAATAAAACGTTCTTCAGCTTCTGATAACATGCCACATGTAGGATCGTAATATTACTATTGCTTTAAAAACTAAATGTAGTATATTTCACATGAGAGCTATTTCATTTAAGTAACGAAACGACTGGTCTGTTTTGTGAGAAGATGGCGAAAAAAGAGTTTTATGTAATTTTTAGGCAAAGGTAACTGTGTTGTGTCATTAGCTATGATGTTTTTGGAAAGGTTGTGCGGCTCTGATTTAGTAGGTGAGGTAAATCCATGGAAGCAGTGTTCACATGTGAGATGTCCGGGTTTGATGGACTGCGCTGACCCTTTTAAACCGTTCTCAGTGCACTGCTGTGATGTTGCAGGATACTGCTGCAATTTAAACTTACTGAAAGGAAGCTATCGAGCAGCGACTAAAGGCTAGATATTAGAGTTTACTTTTTGCAAACAACTTCAACTGCTGACTGTTCATGAACATCTTGCCAAAGGATTTAGAAACCCCTGTGACATCTCGTTTTAGAATTAATCAGAGCTTGAATTGCGCGGCTATACTACCTGTCACACTCACTCACAGCACTGACAAGGTGGTACCACATTCAGAGTTACTAATTGTGGCGTGCTAGTCGAACATGAAGTTATTGTTGACGTTTACTGTTACGTTGGCACTTATATTTTAGATATTTAGCCAAAATGCTGTTTCTTTAACATTTTATGTGTTGAAGTGATCATTCTGTTTTTGTCCGTATAGGCCTGATTAGTCTTCTAGATAATTTGTACATACTTCCAAGCCCAGAATGATATTATGCAAGTAGGGCAGGGCTCCGCACTGTTAAACAGTACACTGTATTTGCATGTTACAGCAAATAATCCACACCAAGAACAAAATATTTTGCGTCATTGTGATGTTGCAAATGACTACGCAAAACGAAAAATAAATTACATATTTTGAAATCTCGTGTTCCTGTTATATGAGTGAGTGAGTGAGTTTAATTTTACGCCGCACTCAGCAATATTTCAGCTATATGGCGGCTCCTGTTCTATGAGGTAAAGGTGATAATGAGGTCTGTGAGAAATCTGATGAATGATTGCTGCCATAATGAGTGAGTGAGTGAACTGTGGTGGCGCGTGGTCCTGTGCATAGAGCTCTGGTTACAAATCAGTTGAAGTTAAGCCAGGGCGGAGAATCATTGGATGGGTGTCCGTGTTTGGCAGCTTGACTCCTGAGACTTTCTAGGACAACAGTCCTGCCCTACAACGAAACACATGTGATACATGTGGTTTCACCTTAGGGAAGTGAGTTTGTTCAAAATTGCCTTTGTTCACCCAGCAGAGAAACGGGTACCCGGTGGGATAAGTCATGTGATTATAACATTGCCTCACAAGCAGTTGGGGTTATCCGGGATAATAATAATAAAGTTGTAACAAATTTGTAGCGCTTTGTGCATTCACTAGTGCATGGAGTCTAGCGCTCAACAAATACACTGTATTATTAGTTTTGAATTTAGTTTTACGCCGCTTTTGGCGATATTCCAGCAATATCACGGCGGGGGACACCAGAGATGGGCTTCACACATTGTACCCATGTGGGGAATCGAACCCACGTCTTCGGCGTGACGAGCGGACGCTTTAACCACTCGGCTACCCCAACACCCTACAACTCTCCGCACGATATCTAACGACGTTAAAAGATGGTACTTGGTGTTGCCTTGGTACTCAGTTTTAAATCATGACGGCTTGTGAGTAAGTGTGGTGTGAGTGGGGTAGCCATCATGTTAAACCTCGGCATGATACAACCTCGGAGTTGGTCTGATGTTTTGATTATGATCAGTGTTTCATTGAGCATTATATGTTTAGTAGTTTTCGAGTTGGGTTGCAATTCATCGGTCCAATTGTGAGCCAAAAGGACTATAAGTAGAAAACTGTCGCAAGACATTGCAAACTCAAGGTCCAAACTACCAGATAACCTGTATCAAGTACATTACCATAGAATAATCATTTCTTGCTTGTTTCAGTTTAGCCAGAATCAAAGATGAGGGTATATTTTCCTTTGATTCTTTTTGAAGTAGTAATTGCGAGGTACCAATCAATATTTGTGGGAGAGTATGATTATAAATTGTTATTCAAACTGTCTCTGTTCAGCTTTATTACGTTTCATACTAGTAGGGAGAAAGTAATCCAGATAGGCCAGACAAAAGCATTCCTAAGAGAACAAAAGCATTCCTGAGGAAAACAATAGCATTCCACAGGAGCGCTCCTAAAGCTCCTGAAACTATTCAAACTATTTAAGTCATACAATAGCATTCCACAGGAGCGCTCCCTAAAGCTCCTCAAACTATTCAAACTATTTAAGTCATACAATAGCATTCCACAGGAGCGATCCTTAAAGCGCCTGAAACTATTCAAACTATTTAAGTCATACAATAGCATTCCACAGGAGCATCCTAAAGCGCCTGAAACTATTCAAACTATTTAAGTCATACAATAGCATTCCACAGGAGCGATCCTTAAAGCGCCTGAAACTATTCAAACTATTTAAGTCATACAATAGCATTCCACAGGAGCGCTCCCTAAAGCTTCTGAAACTATTCAAACTATTTAAGTCATACAATAGCATTCCACAGGAGCGATTGAAACTATTCAAACGCCTATTCAAACTATTTAAGCCATACAATAGCATTACACAGGAGCGCTCCTTAAAGCTCCTGAAACTATTCAAACTATTTAAGTCATACAATAGCATTTCACAGGAGCGTACCTTAAAGCTCCTGAAACTATTCAAACTATTCAAACTATTTACGTCGCGGTTAGTCTGTCTCACAGTCCCTGAACCACATTATTTTCCCTACTGCCAAGCCCTCTCTGCAGTGCTAAAGCCCTAACTAAAGCAAGTCTAGATTTCCTCAGGTTCTGAATCTCTGGTCTCCCTGGGGCTCCTTTTCAAATTTAAATAGGCTTGTTTGTTAGTATCAAAATTATATATATATATATATATTCAGAGACTAAGCCTTAGTCTAACGTCGCGGTGAACAACCAAGTTCAGCTGTTACACATTAACCCTTGAGCAGCTCATTCCGGTTAGTGTCGTAAGAGTTCTATTATACATGTCTCACTGTGTTTCACAGCTCTCACTAGTGACAAAAGCATTCCAACAAGTTCGGAGGTGTTTTTATTCCATGAAGGTCCGTTATCTTATAAATGAACCCATTTGTATATGTTTATAATCTTCTGTCATTATTCACATCTATGGTAGGAGGTAAAGAGTTAACTTTATGACACGTGCTGATTCACGGTGTTTGGAATGTGTATTCAAATAAATGAATGATGCGCTGCTTTGAAAACTTGAAATGCTCGCTACAGTCTATACATAGTGAATCAATGATGTTCCCGTACGCTCCCGAAATTGAACGCCAAAACGCAGAAAGAGGAGAGGTAACAAATCAGGTTTTGCTTGACAACGCCTTAGCAGTTGCGTTCGAGCGAATGTTTCCGGTTCATTCTCGATGTAATGGAAGTGTAAAAGTTAATGCATAAATAACATCGAATGTTAGCAAAGTTCAACACCTTTAAGTGTGATGACAAACTCTGTCCTCACATGTAAGACATATTTTACATATTTTATAATATTACTCAAAGTAAAACAAATAAAATTTAAGACTTACGTAAATTAGAACAAAACAGAGTTTGCTTACAGACTCCGCTGTTGTCATCACATCACTAATGCTTTCTCATTTTAATAATTCCAGTGTTAGTCTTTTCAGTTTCACTGAACATTTGGTCTTTAAACACAATGTTTTCAGTCTCTTCACGTTCGCTTTCTTCGCCTTCTCTTCCTTTCTCCTTTCTTTTAATTTTCTCAATTTGTCTTCTCTTCTCCACCTTTTCTGTCTCTCTCTCTAAACTTTCTGTTCTTTTTTAAACTTTTCACAATATTCTTTAATTATTGATCGGTTTTCTAATATGATGATTTGTTCATCTGTCAAAGTAACAGTTTGTTTTATAATTATGGTTTCACGTATTTTCACTAAACCTAACACTTTCAGAAAATCTTTCTTTTCCATGCCCTTCTAAGCAGTAACTCTTTCAAAGATGCATAGAAAT